GTTACAGTTTAAGAGAGCTTCTAATGTTAACTTCTTATTTTGAGGACAATAAATCATGTGACCGGAAGAAAATCTTTAAAAAGATTTTTGTATTTACTCTAGACATTTAAGGCTGAATAAATTGTCCGAAAATCATTTAAATACTCATTTAGATACTAAATTAATGTAGTTTTTCTCTCATAACCGGAAGTTGTTGTTTTCAAAACTACAAATAAGATGGTATAATGTATTGCTTAGAAAGATTCTATAATGAAGAAAAGATAAAATATTTGATTTATTTTATCACTTCCTTTGATAACCGTAAGTGACAGCAAAAAATGTTAACCAAAATATATATGCCTACTCATCAATATCTACCAATCCTGTAAGTTTGGTGTCTTAATCTCTGACCATTTACGAGATCTAGCTATATGATAACTTCTCATTTCGAGAACAGGATACCACGCGACCGGAAGTGAATATTTTAAATAAGATATTTGAAGTTACTGTAATCATATGCAGTTTGAACATATAACATATCCAAAAATCATTACAAATACTTTATTGATAAAAAGTATTTGTAATGATAGAAAAATGTAGTTTATGTAGTTTTTCTCTTATAACCGGAAGTTGTTTTTGTTACTGGTGGCACTGATACATTTTGAAAATACAAATAAGATGCTTTATTACATACTTAGTAATAAATACAGGTTTTTTGCATATGCAATATGGCTGAAAATAAAAACCCTGTAGGGCTGTATTTTGCGGGGCTGATAAATTATCAGCCCTGCAAATCCATATCAGCCCTGAAATTGTGATCAATATCACACCCTTTTTAAATTAAACCACAATAACAGTACTTGTGTTCATACACAATTTTTGGTCGGTTCATATTCTCTTTATTTTAACTTTTTGAAAATAAAAGTTAATCTTAATTTACAAATACATGTAATAGATTATTTTCAAATTACAGATTGTGGACACTTGAAATAGCAATACAGAAACAAACCGAAACTGTATGAGACAATAGACTGTGTACATTTTAAGAAGTCATGATTATATATTTAATTATTTTCTTCTCAACTTAATGTGTTCTGTATTTTATTACTAAGTATGTAATAAATATATTTTTTCCACATCACATCCTTACATGATAAAACTTTAAGGTCTATGCTTTATTATTTGTTCAAAAATATTTACAAGGTTTGATAAAAAAATTATTATTCTCTATTTAATGTGATGCATAAAAAATTATATAAAAGCGTATTTTCATTCTCTATCATCCCTGAAAATTTCAAGAAAATCTGTCCAGCCATCTCTGAGAAATCTGTCTTACAATAAAAGGGGTAAAAAATGATTTAAAGAAACAGTAGAATCACTATAAGGTCTTCCGTCTGAAATGGAAGATCTTAATAATAATACTGTATTTTTAAAGGGTAACCTGATTAGAACAATGCACTGATCTTCCTCGGGGCCCTCTAAGCATATTCACCAGGGCTTTCAAAAAGTTTTGAACCAGTTGGTACTTTATCAAAAATACAAGGTACTCCTTGGTGAACGCCAAAGGCGTGTGCCTGCTAGAGGGGTCCAGGGGCATTGCCCCCCCCCCTGGAAAAATTTTGAAATTTAGAAGCCACCAGATAGCATTTCCTGGTTTCTAGACACATAGAAGTATGCTGTCGTCAGTGTTATTTTTATGCCATGTTTCAAAGTTTATTTTTTGTCAATACGCATTACATGATAAAACTTTAAGGTCTATGCTTTATTATTTGTTCAAAAATATTTAGCAAGGTTTGATTAAAAAAATTATTGAGTCACGAAAGGAAATGGAAATTTAAAATTAAAAAATTCTTTCCCTTGTTTAGTATTCATGCCATGGCCAGTCCTCCAGCTAATTTGCTGACACTTTTGTGTTAGTTAAAGTTGTTTAATTATTATTTATTTACTGTACATTGTATTCTTCAGTATCCACTTGCTCTTTGTATACAATTATGTTTGACCATAATGGACTCTTCCACTGGACATGCTGGATAAAGGGTCTATTTGCTAAATTTAAAGATGGGTTCTGTCCGGAAAACGATCCTATGAATTACCCAATCATATCCTGGGGTTTTCTAATTCTGTTTAAATGCCCTCTATGGCTATAGTTAGCGCCACCTATTTACGTCACTTTCATCCAATCAAATTACTGTCTGTACTATTTTCAAATCCGACCACTGTTTCATTTAATCAAATTGCTTTATTCATCTATTTCAACCCATGTTTCAGCCAGTAAGAAGGATATGGAAATAACGAACAGTATTCAATCTCAACGTCCATTAAACAAATATACAAAATAAGAGCAGAGCAAACACGGACCTCCGAAACATCAGAGGTGGGATCAGGTGCCATGGAGGAGTGAGCATCCCCTGCCGACCGGTCACACCCGCCGTGTGCTCGTTGTCATAATCAGGAAATAACGGAAAAAATCCGTGGTCAATTCAGTATATAAATAATGGACTAACAAATGGTATGAAAAACGTCAGTCAGCATTTCATTCAATGATAAATTGTATTTGCTGACAAGGTCATTGTATCGACCATAGAATTTACGAAATGATGACTTTAAACGAGACTGTTGATATTCTTGTTTCATCAACTTGCTTGTCAATAATTTACCTCGTTTAAGAAATGTTCATACGTAGAGCATGCTCTTGCGTATCGAATAAACTGAGATATAAATACTCCGTATGCAGGTGATGAAGGTATATTGCTGCATAAGTAAGGGAAGTTGACGATAGAAAAGTTAAAGTCATCACGTTTATCATATAGCTTGGTTGTTAAATTACCATTTGTGTCTTTTTCAAGTAAAATATCCAAGTATGAAGCAGAAGTGTCGGACTCTGTGGTATCTTTTATCTCAAGCTCCACAGGATATATCGTGTCGATGTAGGAATGGAAATTATCATTATTAATTGACAATATGTCGTTGATATATCTAAATGTCGAGTTGAAGGCCACAACAAGTGATTTTCTCTTTTCACGCAAAAGATTTTGCATAAATTCTGCTTCATATGAATATAAAAATAAGTCTTCTAATAACGGAGCGCAATTTGTACCCATGGGAATTCCAATAGATTGTTGGAATACCTGGTTTCCAAAAACCACATAGATATTGTCAATCAGAAACTCAAGCATCTTCTTGATGTCAACTTCAGAGTACTTATGTGTGCAATCAGAATCTGTTTTAACAAAATAATTTTTCAAATGACCAATGACGAGGTAAGTAAACTTACGAATTCCATTTTTGTTGAAGAAGCAGCTGTCAATGATATCAAAAAGCCTGGATTTTAATTTGTCGTGCGGAATTGTTGTGTATAAAGTTGATAAGTCGTAAGTTTTTATGCTGTTGATTTTTGTAAAGTCTTGTGATTTCAAATTGTCCAAAAGTTCTTTAGAATTTTTTAAGTATCCACATCTGATTTACACCACTTCTTGAATATATAGTTGTACAGTACTCTTGAAGTTTTTCCTTCACTACTGTCAATATTTTAGTGAGAAGTAACGAAAGAGGCTTGGTTGAACATTTACTGGAACCTGCAATGTATCTTTATTTGTAAGGATTCTTATGAAGTTTCGGAATCCAATATATATAAGGTAGTTCAAATTCATTTTGGCTCTGTGGAATATTAAAAGTATTCAAAACTGACAGGTGATTTTGAAGAATTTCTTCCTTAGAAAGAGTAGTATATGTATAAGTAGGATTACCACTTGTAGAATTAAATCCAAGTTCTTCTAAAATGCAATTTATATAATGAGCCTTACAAACGAAGACAATGTTGTTACCTGCTTTGTCGGCAGGAACCAGTACGTACTGATCGTGTAATCTATCTAATTCTTTTTTCACTTCTGGTTTATTGAACACAGAAGGATAGATGGTTTTCATTTTGCCCCTCAATCTTTTAATATGTGACTTTAACATGGATCTGATACATTTAATCCATTCTGACAAGGTGTCAATGTCTTCTTTTTCATATCTAGTCCATCGTCTGGCGTAATTTTCAACAGAATCCATAATTATGAAATTCCGACGCCAGTTGAAGGATCGGGGTTCCCTTTATTTAGGACCTTTTAAAATAAGTGATCTAAGGTCCTCATTACGAACTAAATTTACGTCACCTGTAATAACGTGTCCAGCAGGACTATAGTTATAAGGCGAAGAACAAAAGGGGATTATTTTTCAGATAGTCGATATCAAAGCCATGTAAAGTATTTTTTCTTAGAAATCCTTTGAGGCAGAATCCACGTATTTGACTCTGTGATTAAAACAAGTAAATATTTTTTTGGTTTGGTTTGTTTTGTTTTATTGTTGTTGTGTGTGTGAGTGTGTGTGTATTCCTGTGAAACTTACATTGTTGTATGGGAAATTACCCATGATTACTTCATTGACTTATGTTTACATTTGTAACATTGCATAATAAATCATGGTTTTGCCCAAACTGTGTCTTGTCTACTTACAAGAGGAAATTAACCACATGATTTTTTTTTCTGTTTAATCATTTGAATTTTTTAGAAAATTAATATATATTTTTCACATTCTTAGTATCTCTTGAAAGATTAAAATAGCATTTTTTTTCTGTTTGTAAATCATTTTTGACTAAAAAAAGTGTTTAATTTATATATGTATATTTAAGAATACTGTACAGTATAAGTTACAGATAAGGAGTGACAATTTGGTCCTAAATGGGATGGAATATACATCAAAATATTTTTTTTAATGTATAAGCTTGAAAGAAGGATATATGGAGCTAAAGAAAAGTATTAAATCTCAAAGTACATAAAACAATACAAAATAAGAGCAGAGCAAATACGGACCTCCGAAACATCGGAGCTAAGGTGGGATCAAGTGCCATGGAGTAAACATCCCTTGCTGGCCAGTAACACGCGCCGTACGCTCTTTATAATTGCAAATATTATATTAGCAAAAAATGATGTAAGGCATTCAAAAGATTTTAGTTTCATTTTGTTCTCTATGTGTTTCAGTTGAGTCCATGGTTGAAATGGTTGAAGAGCAGATTAATAGATCAGGAATACAAATGGTGAGTATTAATGTAACAAATTGGAAAGCTTCGTTTCAAATACTGTAGAGTCATGATTGTAAAAATCATGACTTCAAGGAGGTAATATGGGGCCACTATAGGATGCAAGAGTTTTAACGAAAATGTAAGTCTCTGATCTTCAAAACAACCAAGTTATTTTCAGTTACATAATGTTCTCCTTAAGTTATTTTTAAACCATGACCACAGGGGATGGGATGGGACCAAGTGTCCTCAATCTTCTCTGGCAAGAACAAGAAAACTGGAAAACTATTATTAAGGTCTTCTGTCTAGAGAAGGATATGGAAATAACGAACAGTATTCAATCTCAACTTCCATTAAACAAATATACAAAATAAGAGCAGAGCAAACACGGACCTCCGAAACATCAGAGGTGGGATCAGGTGCCATGGAGGAGTGAGCATCCCCTGCCGACCAGTCACACCTGCCGTGTGCTCGTTGTCATAATCAGGAAATAACGGAAAAAAATCCGTGGTCAATTCAGTGTATAAATAATGGATTAACAATTGGTATGAAAAACGTCAGTCAGCATTTCATTCAATGATAAATTGTATTTGCTGACAAGGTCATTATATCGACCATAGAATTTATGAAATGATGACTATAAACGAGACTGTTGATATTCTTGTTTCATCAACTTGCTTGTCAATAATTTACCTTGTTTAAGAAGTTGTTCATACGTAGAGCATGCTCTAGCGTATCGAATAAACTGAGATATAAATACTCCGTATGCAGGTGATGAAGGTATATTGCTGCATAAGTAAGGGAAGTTGACGATAGAAAAGTTAAAGTCATCACGTTTATCATATAGCTTGGTTGTTAGATTACCATTTGTGTCTTAGAACGGTTTCTTTTTCCCTATTATTATTTTTCTTTAAAATTTTGTGCTCCTGATTTCTTGGAAATGGCTCGCTTTTTGAAGTGAAAACCTTTTTTGTACAGTAACAATGAACAATTAAGATTTTTACAATTGCAGGTAAATAAAATTGAAAGAAAAGCATTTTAACTGTCATTGAATATATAACAATACACATGGCAAAACAGTTAAAAGTATCATATTGTATTGAAATACAGTACAAAATTCTCAGCCAATACCCAGTCCTAATGGAAGTGTCTTAAAAAATCTTCTTAAGAAGGGCTAAGCCTTTATCAGTCATACTCAAGTAATGTTATAATTTGCTCAAGTGAATACCTCTCGTGATAGGGTTGGCCACATCAGGGGGGCCAGAGTTTTTACTTTGAATTATGATAGAGTTTTCTTCTCCAGAACAGCAAAGTATTGATTATTTATGTAATTAGTTATTCAGTTTTTTAGATTAATTTAGTGGTAATAAGTTGAAATTTTTCTTGAAGATGTTAAACTCACTTAAACATGTTTAATTTAACTTATTAAAAACTTCTAGTAGCCACTGTAGGGATATTTATGTAAACTTGACATGTGTAGTTTGTAATGTATAATTTTGATCGTATAATCAGTTGATTTTTAAGTAGTAAAAACAATTCAAAATAGCATTTATAATAATATAATAATATTTTATACATTTCAAAAGAGTAAACAGGAAGATGAAACAAGGAGTATGGTTGCTGTGATGGGACATTTTCACCAATGCACACCACAACAATTTAGACATGCAGCTGCTGGCACTCAATGTACTAGCATTTGCATTACAGCTATTGTAGCAGCCGCTTTAAGAGCTGTAAAGGACTGGACCTCAGATTTCATAGATGAAGTTCTTGTTGGAGGTGATCAACTTCATTTAGATATTCTTCAGAAGAAAGGCTGGCCATTCAACAGATATGAATCAATGCTCGATATTGATGAAATACCAGATACAATTCAGTGTCAAATTGGCATAAATGGTATCAAAGCAAGTATAGGAGTTCTTGAAGAAGGTTCATTTGGATATTCTTCATATATTGACACTCTGATAACTTCTGCTTTGGTTAACAAACCAAACCAAAGCTTTATTCTCCGAATGTTTGGCTCAAGCATAGCAATCTTATGCACTGGGCATCAAAAGTATTCCATTTTTGACCCACATGCACGAAACCAAAATGGTGATGTTGATGCAAATGGATATGCAGGTCTTTTTCATTTTAGAGATTCCTCAGAGATGGTAGCTTATCTCAAAGAAATCTCTTCAGGCAGGAATGAACAAATTGATATTTACCCAATTTTAGTAAATATATTATGGAGAACTCCCATAAATCATACTGAAGACTCCTTTGTTCCTGAGGTCACATGCTCTGCAACAACAGACATGCATGATGGGGTACAGGAAACCTCATATAAGTCATGTAAGTGTTTTTTTTTTAAATCAAAATAAGTACAGCATTAAAAGTGTTATACCTAAGAAGAAAGGAATCAGCATTATTGAATGACTGCATCATCCAATATATAGAATGCTTAAGTGAAATATATTTTAAGCTCACTTGAGCTGAAAATATAAAGTAAGTTTTTAGCTCTACTGGTCTCAGACCAGAAAAGCTTATGCAATAGTAATGCCTCCATAGTCCATCTGTCCGTCTGTCTGTCCGTAAATGATTTTTCAAAATGCTACTCCTACTACAGTTTTAGACTACACCAAGATACATAATTCTGTGTAAAGGTTTTGATTTTGATGCCATGGGTACAATAGAAATTAATGAAAATACTTTAAAAAAATTTCTCCATATACAATTTTGGTCTGATTATAAATTATGTTATTGTACCTCATTATAATTATTCTACACAACACGTTATCTGATTGGTTCTAGCTTATCACATGATCCGGCTAAAAAACTTCATATTTCCCGGTTGTCAGCATGCTTTTCCTGATATTCCACCTCTTCGGAACCTAGTGTATTTTCCCGCAATATAGTTATTGTTCGTATAAAGGTTTTGCTTGTTTCGAGTAGTACAACAATCACAATAGACTGGTTTATGTCACAAAATTATTGGTGAGAAATGAGTCCAAAGGTTTCAGGAACTTGTACGTTAAAATTGAAAGTGAATTAGAGAGTGGTGCTGAATTTGAAAGTTTTTGTTTGTTTCAAAGGTTTTGCTTGTTTCAGTATAATAAACAATTTAATGAACAATTAAATATTTGGTTTACATATTAAATAATTTTTTAATGTTTTTTAATGAATAGGGAACATTCCATCTCCAAAGGCTTGCCCTCAGGAGAATATGATTTTTTGTGGTCTGAAATTCCTTCTCCAATGACACCTTTGCAGAAAGGAATAAATACAAATACTTCTGGCTTTTTAGGTCACCTGAGTAACTCAGGTGACGTATTTAAGTTATAATACGTTTTTTTCCTATAGATGTACTGTCCCAAGAACTGTTTAACATATTGAACATTTTCATCTTCTTTCAAAAGACCACTGAACCAATTTCAACCAAATTTAGTATATAGCATCTATGGGTCAAGGGAAACAAAAATTGTGAATTTAATTAATTGAAAGATGTAATTCCCCCTGGGGCCTGAGGGGTGGGACCAAAACCACTAAAATTATTGCAATCTTTAAAAATCTTCTTCTTTACTCCTGGACAACAAGCAGGCAAACTGTTAGCATGAATGTAATGAGCATTGAGTCCTCTACCAAATTTGTGAAATTCATGGCCCCAGGGTCAGGGGTTCTAGTGTTAGGGTGGGGCTCTATAAATTCTATAGATTATATAGTGTAAATGCATTTATCATTTGAAAATCTTCTTCTCTGCTTCTGGGTTTTAAATAAACAAGTAGGCACATAGTTATGATAAGCAAGAGTGCCTTTTTTCAAAATTGTGAATTTTATGCCAATGATCCAAGTATATATATTTATGATGAAGAAAGGTGCATCCAGCAAAAGGGATATTTCTATGTCCCGAGTGGTGGGGTACATAGTCTGAAAAATAAATTAATGCATCGAAACCTGCTCTTTAGTATTAATCAACCATTTTTTGATAAAATTTGCAAAATTTTGAAATATGTGGGCCCAGGGTCAGTGGTTCTTTTTTGGGTGAGGTGGACAACTGGTTATAAAGTGGAAGAACATTTTCTCTTTGTAACTCTGATTTACCTCTTGGTATTGAGTAAGTAGAGTATTTTTAATTATGATAAGCAATGGTGCCTCTTTCAAAATTGTGAATTGTGAATTTAATAACCTCTGGTTTAAAACATGAACCAAATTTAATTGTTTGAAATTTGTTACACAATACTCAGGTGACCTATAAGGCCTGTGGGCCTCTTGTTGGAATTCAATCTGATGACCAAACAGTATTATTTTTTATCACATATTTTCCCCTTTATCCTGTTGATATAGCTCATGTGATATCGTTTTCGTAACAACACTATGTATTCCTACGCTGCGCGACTTGATGTAAATAAACAGATACATGTGTATGATAGAGAGAATGGCTTAATTTGTCAAATTTCACTTTATTTGATGTATTTTAACAAAATTTTATTCCTGAACAAAAAAAATAAGTGCTGAAATATTTTCTTTCTTTTATATTTGTACGAACTATTTCATACAGCGTAATTTTATTTATTACGTTATTTGGTCCAAGGTAACCGAAAAGGAACTATGGATTAGAAATAACGACAAAATACACATTTATAGTGAACAAAAATATGTGATAAATTTTTAATATCTCCCTTGTTTTGTGGTTTGATATGATTTTTAAGTCCAACTCCTTGTGTGTTTTGAATAATGCCAAGGAAATATCTCTAAACACACAATTTTCATTGGATTAAAATCATATCAAACCACAAACCATGGGAGATCCTATATATATCCTGATAGATGTTTTAGAATTATACCTTATTTCTTAGATATTTGGTTTACATTACTACATTTATTTTTAATGTTTTTTTTTTTTAATGAATAGTGAACATTCCATCTCCAAAGGCTTGCTCAGCAGGAGAAACTATCCATGATTCTGAAATTCCTGCTCCAATAACACCTTTGCAGGAAGGTTAGAGTTTCAGAAGTTTTTTCTATTTCTATACAAAAATGTTGAGTTTTGATCTATTAAAGTTTATTATACAAGTTTCTATTTCATATACATGCATGTACTGAATTCCCAAGAACTGTGTAATTTATCTGAGCCATTTCTGATCAACTATTAAAAGACTCTCGCCAAAGCTCGGGGATAGAAAACAAACAACTTGTTGGATAAAAATCATATCAAACCAGAAACCATGGGAGATCCTATATATATCCTGATAGATGTTTTAGAACTATACCTTATTTCTTAGATATTTGGTTTACATTACTACATTTATTTTTAATGTTTTTTTTTAATGAATAGTGAACATTCCATCTCCAAAGGCTTGCTCAGCAGGAGGAACTATCCATGATTCTGAAATTCCTGCTCCAATAACACCTTTGCAGGAAGGTTAGAGTTTCAGAAGTTTTTTCTATTTCTATACAAAAATGTTGAGTTTTGATCTATTAAAGTTTATTATACAAGTTTCTATTTCATATACATGCATGTACTGAATTCCCAAGAACTGTGTAATTTATCTGAGCCATTTCTGATCAACTATCAAAAGACCCTAACACAATACTCTGAATTTGCCATTTGTATATTTAATCAAAATCAGCTGAAGGTACAACAGCTTCACCATCATCACTCTCTGTGAGATTCTTCGCTGAGGATGATAAATATTCTAAAGAATATACACAAGAGATTTTGGAGAGCTTTAGAGATACTGACTATGGATCATTGATACATAATAAATCTGCTCAGTGATAAAATATTTATCAAAATATTTGGTTTACATATTAAATTCATTTATTTTTTAATGTTTTTTTAATGAATAGGGAACATTCCATCTCCAAAGGCTTGCTCACCAGGAGAAAGTATCCATGATTCTGAAATTCCTTCTCCAATGACACCTTTGCAGAAAGGTTAGAGTTTCAGAATTTTTTTTTCTTTTAAAAATGTTGAGCCTTGATTTATTTAAGTTTATAATACAAGACTTAGTTTATATTTCACATACATGCATGTACTGAATCCCCAAGAACTGTTTATTTATCTGAGCCATTTCTGATCAACAATCAAAAGACCTTAACACAAAACTCTGAATTTGCCTTTTTGTATATTTAATCAAAATCAAATGAAAGTAAAATAATTGTAAATACAAATAAATTGAAAGATGTAATTTTGTTTGAACATATGTAGAAACAGCTAAAAGAAACTCTGCCAAGCTCAAAAGACCTTGTCCTTTCTGTGGTGAGATGAAAGGACGACTAACAGATCATCTGAAAGCAAAGCATAAAAATGAAGAACAAGTTAAAAATGCATTACAATTACCTAAATACTTGAGGGATAGAGCATTTGATGAAATGAAAAAAGAGGGCATTTTTAAAGCTAACACTGAAATGATAAAAAGTGGGGATTTTGATGTATCAAAACTTATAAGGGAAAGAAATCAGGGTGATCCATCTTCATTGAAAATGTGCTCAGTGTGTAAAGGTTTTTTCAATGCTAAAGTCATATATAAGCACAAAAGAACATGTGTGGCAGCTGAAGGTTCAACAGCTTCACCATCATCACTCTCTGTGAGATTCTTGGCTGAGGATGATAAATATTCTAAAGAATATACACAAGAGATTTTGGAGAGCTTTAGAGATACTGACTATGGATCATTAATACGAAAGGATGATTTTATCAAAAGATATGGCTTTCATTTGTATCAAAATATTCAAGGGACTTTAAAGAAAGTGGAGAAAAGATTATCTCTGAATTCAAAGTTGAGAAGATTGGCTCATCTTTTCTTGGCATTTAAAAAGATGTTTGAAGAAAAAAGAAAGAGACAGGTTAAAGACTGCAGTGAGATGTTTAGTCGAAAGCATATTATGGAGCTACAAGATGCAGTACTGGATATGACTGTGAACAAAAAAACCAAAAAAGTAAAACATTCATTGAAAGTAAATCTTAAGTACCTTTTGAATGATGTTTGTGAAGTAATGCAAGCTAGTTATTTGATTGAAGGGGAAGATGATTTGGCAGAAGAATTGGGAAAATTTGTTGTGATCTCTCGAAGACTTTGGTCTTCATTTTACAAAAATGCAGAGCAGAACCTTAAAATACAACGTGAGGCTGAATTAAGAGCACCTATAAACCTTCCTGTTAGACAGGATCTTTATAAGGTCAGGGAGTACACCAAGCAGTTAATAACAAAATTATCTGGTGATGGATATTCTTTGTATGAAAATGCAGAGTTCTGCAAACTGAGAGATGCACTTGTTTGCAGACTTACAATATTTAATGGACGTAGAGGAGGAGAACCAAGCAGGATGCTCTTATCCGAGTTAACTGATGCTATGAATGACAAATGGATTGATCAGTACAAGAGAGAAAATTTGCAGTTTGAAATTGAAAGAGAACGTTTTGGTGAAACAAAAATCGCATACATCCATGCCTCCAAAGTTGCAAGACTTGTACCTGTTATTATCCCTAAAGATTGTTGGAAGGCACTTGATATCATAACAGATGACGAAGTTAGACGAACTGCAGGAGTCAATCAAAGAAATGAGTTTGTATTTCCAAATACAAAAACTTCTATGAGTCATGTGATAGGATGGGATTGTATACACAGAATGTGTCGAGAGGCAGGACTTCAACGCAACTTTAATGCAACAGGAATGCGCCACTTTCTTGCAACAGAGTATGCTGCATTGAATGTTGACCCAAGTGATCGAGAGATATTCTACAAACATATGGGACACTCTGAAAAAATCAATGAAAATATTTATCAATGCCCTCCAGCATTGAGGGAAATTACACATGTTGGACGTGTTCTTCAACAAGTGGATATGATGGACGATTGTGGAGGTATTTCATTATTTACTATAACACAGTAAAACTTGTCTTGTCCCAATCGTATGTATTTCAAAATCATGCCTAATTTGACCATGTTAATATCTAGTCCCTTTCAATAGATTTTTTTGTTAAAAATCTTGTCTAATCAGGAATGTTGTGTATATATTTTGTATATCTTTTGTATATTCTATGATAGTTGTGCAGATTTTTTGGGACAGACTGATTAATTACAAATCGTCAATCAGGATGATGACAATTATCAGTGACGGGCACCTGTTCCTGTGTCAAATATGTGAGATCGTTGTAAATTCTCTATCTAGAACCTTAGCAGAATAAATTTAAAACAATTATTTTTTTAAGAGCTATGATGTACAATATTATTAAATTTTTTTCTAAAATAGTAATGTATTAATGATTTGTTCTATTCATGTAAAATAATTTAAAAATGATTTTTTTTAATTTTAAGCTAAAATATCCTGCGTTTTTGACAATAACTTAATGAACAAAATTGATCAGTTATCTTCCGGAAAAATTCTGTTGCATCAATCAAAACTAGATATTTCCATAAAATAAATACACATATAAGCACTATAGAATGGTATGCAGCATTTATTTAAATTTTGATTCGATTATCGGATCGGATCATCAATTTTTATCACTTGAAGAAATTTTTTTTTCTAAATCTAATTTAGAGAAAATTAAAAATCTGTTTGAATAAATATTTATTTTATAAAATTATAATATAATTTAGACATATTTTAAAGCTACAAAAAGTAAAAAACACAAATAAGATTGAATAATAAATCCTAAGTCAAAATATTGCTTCATTGTTTAGGAAAAATATATGTTGTTATAAACTATATGCTAAATGAAAAAAATCACTAAATTGAGACTTAAATATCTCAGAAAGATAGTGGAAAGGTCACTGAAAGATGGCAGAAAGGTCACTGAAAGTTGATGGAAAGGTCACTGAAAGACGCAGAAAGGTTACTGAAAGTTGACAGAAAGGTCACTGAAATTTAACAGAAATATGTCAGCTGAATGGTGACTGAAGTGTCTATTTTAGTATTGAATTCATATTTTTGGATGTCTTCAGTCGTATAAAACACCTGGCCGTGTGACAAATTGAATATCGCGCCTTAGTGCGGTATGATAATTTGTCAGTACAGGGAGGTGTGTTATAGGACCAAAGACATCCAAAAATTTGAATTCAATGCTTATATTTACATTCTCTAATTTTATTTCTTCATGATTGTTTATTTTGTTAATCTTAAATTTGAATTTAGCGCCCTTCAAAACTGCCGTGGTTCATAGATGTAAGAGCTGTTTGTGACATCTAATGATGTTTACTTAATGACATTGCAAGGTTAAATAATGCAAACAAACGTTGTGTGGAAAAAAGTGTCAGATTAACTTTTAATGCACATTACGTTAACTTTTCGTTAATTTTTCAGGGTTATAGTTTTTCATAAATACGTTGTATTTCCATTAGTGCGCTCTTCAGAATTAGAGGCGCGTTTGGTTGTCTGACTGGGACAGCATGACATTGCGGATAATACAAAACATTCCAGTTTCAATCCAATTTTAAATGTTTAGTACATTTGTCATTCTAATCAAAGAAAAGAAGAACTAAAAAACATATGAAAGTGAGCGAAAACCATAACTTTATCATCCATTAATTAAAAAAAAAAACATTTCCGACGTATGTGTATTGTCTTTAAATGTACCATACGATAAATGGATACATATGATCAACAATAGATGTTAATAAAATTCCTTGTTCTCTCCTTTCTTGATTTAAATAAAGTCCACAACAACAAAATATTTCATATGCATTTTGTTAGGATTTGTTCATCGAAATTCAACATGTTGTTTACATGTTTATGTTACGTTTGTCCCAGAAATCCTGCGAGATTAGTACATTCTCCGACTTTTTCACAGAAGAACGCACTAAGAACTTTAACTCTTCAATAGTGGAAATAGAACGTATTGAAATGATATGTTTTACATTTTGGTGTTCCTAGAGTATTGAAAATGCATGCAGTTCCTACTGTATATTCTAACGCGCAGTAACAAGGTTTCATGTGTGTTATAGAAATTTAAACGTCATGGAGGAAAATTTATACACCGAATGTAAATATTAAAACAAAGAACTATTTAAACAAAACACTGTGAAATTAATTCAATTTGTGGTCACAGGGGAGGGTGCAATTTGCAAATGGTGGCTACAAAATAAAACAAGAAAACATTGATGTAACCATCAAATTATCGCCCTGGAAATTAATAAAGTAAACAATGGAAATGGTTCTTGATCATCAAACTGCTTTGATATGTGTTGAAAAGGCATGAATCAAAATGATGGAAATGATAGTCTTGTATATTTTGAAAATTTATAGTTGGATGAAAATCGAATAAAAAGATTCCTTTTTGAAACTTTATCAATTCCTCAAGTGAATGCTAGATGCATAAGATATAAATTGAAACTATAGACTCATGCATCAATTATTTTCGAAAATGTATATCACGTTAAGATTATAAAACACGACCTTGAATACAGTACTTTTTTATGACGTAATTAAAATTGATGTTTTAAAAAAATGGACCTGTCGTTTTTTTGATAGTATATGATAAGCAACTTTATACATTAAATATCAAAAACATATACAGTGCCGTGCCGTAAGTGTTTCACATTTACATGATGTTGCAAATTCTAAGTGCATTATCATAAGGTTAAGTAAAGTTTACTTACAAAAATACCACTGAAGATGATACCTTGAAACTTTTAATACTTTGTAGCATGACCCTTGGCTTTTAGAACAGCTTGTACTGTTTAGGTATGGTTCCGTCGTGACACTTTATATAGCCTGGAGTCAACGAATCCAAGATCTGCAAAACAGCATTTACAAGTTCTTGTTTGGATTTAATCCAGTGTTGCTCTTGTCCTAGTCTGATTTTTTAACATTCTCCAAACATTTTCTATTACATAAATATCAGGAGATTGCGATGGCCAGTCTAAACACGGAATATTATTGCCATTTTTCCAATTTTTAGCCCGTTCAGACCTGTGACATTGGCAAATGTCATCTTGAAAAATCCAAGGAGAATTACAAAAATGATTCGCAATAACTTGCCATAAATGATTGTCCAATATATTTATATACTTCTTTGTGTTTAAATCACCATCAATGGGGATTAAGGTACCTACGCCAGAGTAGGAAATAAAGCCCCAAAATGAGACGGTGATACAGATGCCGCCATTATGCACTGAACGCAGTCCTAAACACTCAGGCCTCCACTTTTCATCTGCTTTCCTCCAAACATACACACGTTGATTAGACCCAAGAACAACTTGTGTGTTATCAGAAAATATTATATTTTTCCACTGATTATCTACAGTCCAATTTCTATGGTTTTTACACCAATCAATTCGTCTTTTTCTGTTGACAGCTGATATTGTGAGGGTTTTCGCTACTTTATGTCGTAACTCAACAAATGTAATTTTCTCTAAAAAGACGTTTCATAAACTGGATCTGTATGCAGTGCCATAAGTGTTCACTTTTAATTCTCGCTTTTATTGAAAAAATATTTCATAGTTTCAGTCTTGTAAATATTTCTGTGAATACGATGTCAATCCTGACTAAATTTAGACAATACTATATTTAGCTTATCTGTGTCTTACGGGAATTCCCCTGCGCACGAGGATCTATTTTTATAACAGTAGCAGACGTAAACAAAACATGGCTTCAAATCGCCGAGAAATGACAAGTGCTTTAAAACAAAAAATAATCGTTTAGAAACTGGACGAGGCACAGAACGATTAAATTCCTCTGTTAAATCTCCTAAATTTTGCCTACGATCTTGAAGAACTAACCTTTTAAGAATCCGTTCGGACTGGACACTCATCTTTTTGGGTCGTTCGCTTCGTGGGTCATTTTTGATCCTTTTCCGTATTAGACCCATTAAACCCTAATTAAGGAAATCATATCGCTCGGTAGGGTCATTGGAATGATGCAATATTGAACGCTAACAGGACAGACGTTAATTTGAATACTGATACAGTTTATGTAAGTAAATAGATTGTGTATCTTTTCATTTACAAAGGGAAAGAACACTCCCCTGATTAAAATCTTTTTTTAATTAATGTTTAGAAAACCTTTAATTATGAATAATTTCTACCACCTCAATCCCCATACACAAATAGTTAAACTTATTATATAGCTAATAAATAGTCTCAATTAAAATTCTACAAAAAATCTAGAGAATTTTAGCGTTGAATATCTTGACGTTTTATTGAACGCTAACTTTGTATTGCGTAATTGAGTATGCCCGAAACATTCCGAATAAGAGCGTTCAATATCGAACGCCCCGTTGTAAACAAAAAAAGTCGTCTGGTCAAATTCTCAGAGCGAAATTATAGGAAGGAAGCGGTATCTAGGTAAAGATGTGTTTATTTTTCACACTTAAATAACATTATTTTTTAAAAAACAGTACGTATTAGAAATGTTTTAGCTATATAATAAAGGGGTTATTGAACTTATATCGGTGAATATTGGCACTCGTTGGCTGTTCAAATGCACTCGCAAGCTCGTGTATTTGAACAGCCAACTCGTGCCAATATTCACCGATATAAGTTCAATAACCCTATATAATATTTATAGAGCAGCTCTGTCCTCCAGGCTGCAATAACCAAGATTTTGAAAAAGTGCTGTGAAGTGATTTTAATTTGAAGGAAATCAATGTTTTAGGGTGATCTAAATTTTACTTGTTTATAGCTATACACTTTAATGTGTTACTTATTAAAAATATGATGGTATATTAAATGTCTTGAATAGTAATTAAAATACTAGTAAATGTTTGTGTGGATTAAAAATCATGGATAAGGGTAACATTGGTCCCCTACCAGACAATTCTACAGCAGTGCAATTTAGCACTCGCTGTTGCAGAAAAGAAAATCTGAACTTTAAGTAATTGCTACGTACAAGATTCACTTTAAAAAAAAATAAGATTTGCTTATATTATTTTTTTTTAGGTACTTTAAATTTGCAGAATCAAAATTTCACTGATGTTGATCTTGATGCTTTAGAAGGTATGTGCAGAATAAAGAAGTTTACTTAATATATATTCAATGAGTAAAATAAAAAAAAGACTGATCAGTGATTTTTTAGGGATAAAATTGTTGATGTTTCTTCTTTTTACTTATAGTTATTCTTATAATTGTTGGTACATTGTATCCACATGAAGTCCTGTCACAAGGAATGTACATGTGAACAATGAAAGTCCTAGTCTAACTGTTCAAAAGAAATTACCTAATTAGTTTAATTTTTTAGCTCACTTGAGCCATCGGCTTATACTTATGTGAAGGGAATTCAAGTTTGTTCAAATGAATGGCCACATTCCATTCCAGGAGGGGGGGGGTGGTAATTAAAAATTAATGACATCTTTCAAAAATTTTCTCAAGAACCACTTGGCCAGGAAAAATGAAACTTATATGGAAGCATCCTCAGGTAGTGTAGATTCAAAATAGTTCAAATCTTGACCCACAGGGGTAGGGTGAGGCCATAACGGATGATCAAATTTTACATAGGAATATATAGGAATTTTTAAAATAAGATCTTCTTGAGAAAAACAAAGCCATGATTGGTTATATATATATATGGAACCATCCTCAGATAGTTCAGATTCAAGATTGTTCAAATCTTGACCCCGGGGGGTAGGTGCTACAATGGACGATAAAAGTTTTGCATAGGAATATATGGGAAAGTTCTAAAAATCTATTTTTTAAGAACAACAAAGCTGTTGTTGGTCATATTTAATATGGAAGCATCCTCAGATAGTGAACAAATCATGACCCTCTGCAGTAGGGTTGGAGCTACAATAGATAATCATAGTTTTACATTGGAGTATATAATAGGAAAAGTCTTCTCAAAAGCAGCAAAGTCGATGTTATGATTGACTTTGTTTATATGGAAGCATTCTCAGGTATTTTAGATACAGATTTTTTAAAATCATGACCCCCAGGGTTGGGTGGGACCATAATAAAAGTTCAAACTTATCGTGAAAAATGCCACAGTTAGTCAAAAAAGAATATATAAGCATCTTTAGTTAGATAAGTTTAGATTCAAGATTTTTGAGTGATGTGGCCCATGGGCTTCTTGTTTAAAAGAAGGTCTTGTCACAATAAATGCTCTACGTATGAACATTTTCCAAAATGAGGTAAATTATTGACAAGCGTGTTGATGAAACAAGAATATCAGCAATCATAATTTCGTAAGTTCTATAGTCAATACAATGACTAATTGTTAGTAAGTTCATATTTTATACATTGAATTGATGACAGATTTTTCCATTTTTTCTCGATCATGAGAAGGAGCACATGGCGGGTGTGACCTTTCAACAGGGGATGCTCACTCCACCATGGCATCTGATCCCACCTCTGATGTGTTTGCTCTGCTTCTATTTTGTATTGTTGTATGAGCTTTGAAATTGAATACTGTTAGTGAGCTCCATATCCTTCCATACATATATTTTAACAACTGCAAAGTCAAAATACAATGTTTGTAACAGAAGAGAAGTCACAAGAATACACATTTGAAATATGGAGACCCACTCGATATATTGAACAGTAGTGTTATTAAATGAGAAAATTACTTTTCTGGCCCTTTTTGTGTGCTTTTGCAAAATTATTAGATTTTATGTAATAAAAAGTGTATATTTTAATGTTACAGAATTATGATAATCAATGAAAATGTTTGAAATAAATGAAATATAATTTTTCGCCTCCTGTTTGTCACACTATAGGCTTTGTGTGCTTCATGTTTACCCATCTTTTATTTTCATATTCTATTGTAAGTTGTCTGATTCAAGGAAGTATGCTAACTCTTCCAGTTTTCATTGTGATCGCTATTGAAGATTTTCAATAGTTCAATGGAATTTAAAAATTCATGACCCCTGGGGAAAATGTTCTGATGCTAGGTCAGGGCTCTATTGTCAATACATGCAAACCTAAAAATTTAAAAGGTATTATGTCAACTTATAATTTTCCTTTTTTATACTCTGTCATTTATTTTTTTTAATTGACTGTTTACCAACACAGTGAAGTCAATAGATTTAATCGAACTTAATTATTTAGCATTTGATATCTTCATACTCTATATTACAGAATTTATAGGCCTGGTAGCAGAGGACATTCCATTTTGTCAACTGTTGGATTTGTCAAGGCAAATTCAAGAGGAGGATGTAACTGTGCAGCCAGAAACATTGAGGCAGAGCAAAAGTCTACTTATGAATAAAAAATTACAAAACTATGCCAGACAGTTCTTTACAGAAGATGCATGGCTGGCTGTAAAGACTACTTTGCAATTTCTTGGAGGTAATTTAAGTCCTTTATCTTGCCAAGTAAAAAAGATTTATAAAATTGAATCACAATATTTTGACTTATTTACACATTTAACTTACATGTATCAATATTTAAAGTTCCTGCAGATATCAAACTTTTGCAAAATGAAAGTAAAAACAAAAGAGTTAGACTTAAAATACCATGAAATTTAAAAAAACTTTTAAAATAATTTGTTATATCAGTTATTCCATAATTTGCATTTACCTCACCTTGAAAAAGTCAAGATGAGATTATGGTATACCTTTGGATCATTGTAAGTGTCAGTCTCCCAGTTAAGATTTGTATAATTTTGGAATGCTGCTGGATCCTCAAGTGACTGTCCAGAAGATTAGAACAGTGACCAAACTGTTGTCTTCTCTCCTGTGTGAGCCACGGTCGCACCCAAAAGCGTCTGAGTGCAGGTCTTCTAACCCTTCTTTAACGGAGTTTTACAGGCTTTATCTGTTGCTCTTCCTCCTCTTTGATGGCAATTACATAAAGAGCATAGCAATACTGCAAAGATCACATTGTCATTATCTTTGGCCATTTTTAATGATTGTGTATGTTTTTATTGTGTTTACCTTTTTTATGGAAAGAAAATAATGGACTCAATATAGACAGATTATTAAAACTTATATCTCTCAGGGTACAATCGTAGCTCAAAGTGTGTTTTATTAGCTCACCTGAGCCTTGGCCATTATAGGGAATCAAAGTTTTACATAGAAATATACAGTAAAAATCTTTGAAAATCTTCTTCTCAGGAACCACTGGGCCAAAAAAGCTGAAATATGTTTGTCCATTGAAGGATCATGGGGTAGTGTAGATTTCAAAATGTCTAAATTATGATCTGTGGGGTAGGGTAGGGATGCATTATGTATAACAAGGGGGAAATCTGGTAAAGAACAGATTGGTCAAAGCTTCTAAGGTGAGCGATGTGGCCCATGGGCCTCTTGTTTTGATCCTGATTGTGAAAGACATTGCAATAAACTTAGTTGTAGCTCAAAGGAGCCTGGTGAACGTATTCTGTCATATTGCACCTATACGCATATCTTCATATTTGGGCATAAAATTCAATAAACAATTTGTGATCATCTACAATTGTTCAATCGCAACTGACCGCACGACAGTGGAAACGCAGCATAGCCAAAAAAAATATTGTTGATATTCCACCTTTACATAGAGATCTTTCTGACATATATATTTACTTCACTTATAGAGAGCTTTCTACATTTGTTGAAGTGATTCTTTGCAATGTTTGTTTTGGAACCAGTGATGGCATGTGTTTATCAATTCCAAAGTAGGGGGAGTGATTGCCTAAATGGGAGACATCTGTAACAGTCCTTGTTACATTTAGAATGAGTTTGAATTAAGCAACACAGTATGTTTGTATTATTTTACAATTCTACTGTTAATACATACCTTTTTTTTTTGGTTTAGGACTGAAAGGAGATATTGAGATTGATACTTCAGTAGAAGAGGTAAAATTTGTACCTTTGATTTGTTGTGTTATTATATTTCAGAAATGTATTACAGTTATTTATCACATATTTTCCCCTTTATCCCATTGATATAGCTCATGTGATATCGTTTTCATATCAACACTATGAATTCCTATGCCGCACGACTTGATGTTAACAAACAGATACATGTGTATGATAGAGAGAATGGCTTAATTTGTCAAGTTTCACTTTTTTTGATGTATTTTAACAAAATTTCATTCCTGAACAAAAAAAATAAGCGCTGAAATATTTTCTTTCTTTTATATTTGTACGAACTATTTCATACAGCGTAATTTTATTTATTACGTTATTTGGTCCGAGGTAACCGAAAAGGGACTTTGGATTAGAAATAACAACAAAATACACATGTATAGTGAACAAAAATATGTGATAAAAAGAATCTCCCATGGTGTGTGATTTGATATGATTTTTATCCAACTTGTTGTGTGTTTTCTATCCCCTCGCCAAGGCTCGAGGATAGAAAACACACAACTCGTTGGATTAAAATCATATCAAACCACAAACCATGGGCAATCCTATATATATATATATCATTCAGAGCTGCAATATCTAGAAATTCTTACAGAATTAAATCTTTAGTATAATTTTTTTTTCTCAATGATATTCATGGGGAAAACAATTGATATGTACATTTCAATTATCAATACAATGTATACATGTATGAGTATGTAAATTTGTTTACTTAATCATGTTCATGTCACTTAAAAATTAATTTCATATTTGCTATAAAAAAAATAACATACCATAGTACAAATGCAGGTGCAGTTCACATTATATAAATGGTGCCTGTTTTGGAGGATAACAATTGAAATTAAAACCCTAAGGAAAACCATTGTCAACCGAGGCGTAAGCAGAGGTTGACAATGGTTTTCCGAGGGGTGTCAATTTCAACTGTTAATTAACCTCCAAAACAGGCACCATTTATTTTTATACTGAATGTCTTCTTGATTTAGGATGTTGGCAAAATATCGTTGATCATCTTTACGTTCATGTTTAGAAAGCTTTCAAAACTCTCCACTACGTAGAAAAAGATTCACTGACCTCTTTATTGTTTATTTGATACTTTAAGTCTCCTTTATCATCTAAAGTTTTGTTGATTTCTGCACTTGCAAGCATGTTTTGATTGTCGTTTGTTGTTTTCAAGTAAGGTACATTGGATGCAAGCTTTCATTCAAGTTTATTCTGGTTCTTTCAAACTCGCAACTAATGTTTTGAAAATTCTACGGTAAACAGTACGCTCATAATTTCCACGCATATGACATTACCATTGTGTTACTTGTTGTCATGTGTGTTGCTAAGGGTAATAGAACGGATTGTGAACTGCATCAAATCCAATCAGAATTTAGTATTTAACCAGGGATTTTCCACTACCCCATGTAGGGCCGAATATGAGCCCAATTCCCAATTGCATAACCCTCCCTTTTTCCCCAAAATGATCTGCCTATGTTCAATTTTTGAAAGAAAAAGAACTCAAGAATGTAACCTGAACATAATTCACAAAAAACAAACATGTTTAGGTTTGGAGATTTGATTGAAATGAACAAAATTTTGAAAAATTTTGGGTAAACCTGTATTATATAATGATCAATTCTCTGATTCATAGTAAATAACTAAGTAAAAGATCAATTTTTATTCATCTTAAGTACCAGTATTTATTTCCTGAAAAAATCATTCAGTAAAATTTGTAGAGCTGGGTATTACCCCGAGATTTCGTATTGCGATATATTGTGATATTTATAACTGCATGTATTGCGATATTTATAACTGTATTGCGATATGTATTGCAATATTTTCCATTTAATTTAAATGGCATTTTCTTACTATATTTTCTTTAATTTACATGCAGAATGTACATAGCTATGATAAGTAACCAACACTGACCAAAAAAAAAAAATGTTGATTTCATTAAAGTTATTCTCTGAAATGTTCCCACAAAACAACTTCTGACGTACTGTTTGGCTTAATAACAAACTTTCAAAAGTCAATTTTTATATTTAATCACAAAATTCCTTAATTTAAGCATATTGCCTATATATCGTTATTACAAAATCGTATTGCGATATGATATTTTTTGTCATTGTATTGCAATATATTGAAATATCGATATTATTGCCCAGCCCTAAAAATTTCCAAATAAGTGATAAAATGAAAAATTTCCAATTCCAAGGGCCTGTGTCCCATTCCCAAAAGTGGGTGGAAAATCCCTGATTTAACATAATAGTATAATACATGTAATAAAAAATATCATATGGACAACATATTTAGTAAAAGAAGCATTTATAGCTATAATTAAGATTATGCACTTGTTTGCAATGTTTACTTGTAAATGAATTTAGACCCAGAAGGGCTCACACGTGTCTCTTGTTAAAAACACTTTCTCTATAAGTACTAATAAAATATAAATTTGCCTATTGGTTTTTTACACTTAATTTTCATGATATATCAAACAAGAAATAAATAATTTTGTGATATTTCTAAGGTACCAGGGCCTAGTAAACGGAAAATACCAAGAGTGGTCACATCTGAAATTGAAGACATTGCACTAAGTGGGGGAGAATCTGAAAATGTGGCTGATTTACAGGGGGAAAGTGAAGATGACATGTTTGATGATCTAGAATTAGAGAACGAAGAAACTGAATCATTGACAGGTATATTTTTTCATTATTATTAATTAAGACTCAGATTACTTTCAAGGTGCATTATTCTAGCATACCCAAACAGGAAAATTGGAAGTAAAAAAAATCTTGAGAGGGGGGTTAAACAACAAACAAAAAAGTATTTCTATTCCTTAAACTTTTTCACCTTCAGTCTGCATGCCTACAAATTGAAAATATAAAGTTAGGCCATTTTTTTTCCAAAATTAATGTTTGAGAGAGGCTTTATTTTTCTTTCTCTCTTTTGAAAAAAACCCTTACATTTTCCCTCATTTTTAGCTCTACTGGTCAGAGACCAGAAGAGCTTATGCGATAGTAAGGTGTCCGACATCCGTCCCTCTGTCTGTCTAGCTGTCCGTCTGTCTATAAACAATTTTTCAAAACGCTACTCCTCCTACAGTTTTGATCTGATTCCAATATTACTTGGCACACAAGTAGACGACACTAAGATACATCAAATAGTGCATCGTTTTTTGATTACGATGAACGGTATTTCCTTGGTTACTAAAAATACTGTATACAGGGAAATTTTTGCCCCCGTTTTATTTTCGCCCCTTTCCCCCACCCTCATTTGGGCGAATTTAAAACGGGACTAATTCAAAGAATACAGTAGTATTTCTTAAACAAAACTATGACTGGGCGAATTTAAAACGGGGCAAAATTGTTTGCAAGAGTGAAAGGGCAAAAATAAGACGGGGCGAATATAACCCTGTATACAGTAGTATTACTTGGCACAAAAGTAGACGACACTAAGATACATAAAAAAGTGCATGGGTTTTTGATTTTGATGATCAGTGTTGCCATGGTTTCTAAAAATAGAATTTTCTGTGAAATTTCTTTAAAAGCTACTACAGTTTTGGTCTGATGGCAATGGCTTCTTTTCTCATCCTTTGTTTTAAGTACAAACCAGTAGAGATACAGTCTCGACAGAGACTTCTGGTTCTTTTTAATTCTAAACAAGCAACTTTATCATGATCAACAGTGCTTCAATATTGACTGTAGATATCTAGAAAATCAATGCCATACTTCTTTATTTCTCTGCATCATCTGCATGCCAAAGATATGTGTAATGAGTCGACTGCATCCTGAACTGCTTTAACTAAACATGCGTTCAAATTAAAGAACCCAACACTTTTTAGGTCACCTGAGATGAAAGCTTTAGTGAGCTATTCTGATCATAATATCTGTCTGTTCATCTGTAAACTGTTCACATTTTTGACTTTTTCTCCAGAACACTGGGCCAATTGCCACAAAGCATCCTCCTTGGATAAATGGTATTCATTGACAAGTTTCTTCAAATAAAGGTCCACACTCTTATTCAAGGAGAGTTAATTTAAAAAATAGTGAAAATTTGGTGGATTGTTTTAAAAATCTTCTTCTCAAGAACCACTGGGTAGGGAAAGATGAAACTAATGTAAAAACATCCTCAGGTAGTGTATATTATAAGATTCACTTTCAAATCATTACTCACAGAGGTAGGTTGGGCAAGAATGGCTGATCAAAGTTACATAGGAGTATGTAGGAAATTAAAAAAAAATCTTCTCAAGAACAACAAAGCCATGGTTTATCATATAAAGAAGCATCCTCAGGCAGTTATTACGTATATGAGTATGCCCGAAACATTCCGAATACGAGCGTTCAATATCAAACGCCCCGTTCTAAACAAAAAAAAAGTTGTCTGGTCAAATTCTCAAAGCTAAATTCAAGAAAGAAAGGGGCATCTAGGTAAGATGTGTTTATTTTTCATAAAAAATGAAATTATTTATTAAAATATAGTACATATTCGACCCATTAAAACCTAAATCAGCAAATCATATCGCTCAATAGGGTCATCAGAATGATGCGATATTGAACGCTTACAGGACAGATGTTAATTTGAATACTGATACTAAAAAAATTATTAATTTGAGGCTTTTTGGGTTGGAATAATTATTATTAATTATGTGGAAATGTTTTAGCTATATAATAAAGGAATTTGCAAGCTCGTGAAATTGAACAGCCAACTTGTGCCAATATTCACCGATATAAGTTCAATAACCCTATATAATATGTTCCTGCTAGGAATAAAGGAAACTGCCCAATTACATTTGGATGCTATATGCCCAAATCCCACATTCACCCCCAATATGCAATACACTTTGCTCTTTGTTAAAAATAGACCCCCACCCCTTAGATGATTTATTTTGCAAAAAGAAATTGTGCTGCAATATATTTTATTTTCCTTGGTAATGCTGTAGCAGCATATAATTCATGAAATTATTCAGAAAATTTAAGAAAGCACCTTTAACTCAAAGCTTGTCATAGTCTTTAAAAACAATTAACACCCAGGCCTACAAATTTGTCCTTAATAAAAGTGTAGGGGTGCAAGGGATCAAAGTGTTTATAATTTTCTTTAATGAAGTCTATACTGTAGATCAATAAATTTTTGCAACACCTTGTTTTTACAAGATAATCATTGACTGTTTATTAGCGAGACATAATTTTTACAAAAGTTGTTATTCCTTGATCAAAATGATTGTAAGGAATACTTTTATATGAATGTTTTTTATTCAAAAGATCATTGTCTTGCTTAAGTATATACATAATTAAAGTTTTTGCAAATAAAAAGTGATTTAAAATACTCGTAAAATTACTAAATTGGAATACTTTCTGCGATTTTTTTAATCCATAAAGATGTAGAATTAAGTGTTTTATATGAATTAATACTAGATAACTATAAATTACATTACAACTAAATTATAATAATTTGAATTTTTAGCAGTTAAAAAAACACGGCATATGTGGCTTCCAGAAGAAGATGAGGCAATACGACACTTTTTCAAAAATGAAATCAATGATGTTTCCAGGAAAGGGAATCAAGGAACTCTACAAGGTATCATTCATCTCATCTTTGCAAGGCTCATCAAATAAGCTTTTACTTTATTTTGAATTTGGATTCTTCTTTAGGCTCTACAGGAACAAAGTTTGTTATAGATTTAAATGTATTGCCCTCTACATTGATACCCAAGATTCAGTTTTTAGCTCACCTGAGCCAAAGGCTCAAGTGAGCTTTTCTGATCACAATTTGTCCGTTGTCTGTCGTCGTCGTCGTCGTTGTTGTCGTTGTTGTCGTCGTCGTCGTAAACTTTTCACATTTTCATCTTCTTCTCAAGAACCACTGGGCCAATTTCAACCAAACTTGGCACAAAGTATCCTTGGGTAAAGGGGATTCAAGTTTGTTCAAATGAAGGGCCACGCCCTTTTCCAAGGGGAGATAATCATGAATTTGTTAAAAATTAATGGCATTTTTAAAAAATCTTGTTCTCCAGAACCGCTGAGCCAGGAAAGATGAAACTCATGTGGAAGCATCCTCAGGTAGTGTAGATTCAAGTTTGTTCAAATGATGACCCCTGGGGCAAGGGTGGGGCCAAAATGGCCGACCCAAGTTTTACATAGGAATATATAGGAAAAATCTTTAAAAATCTTCTTCTCAAGAACCACTGGGCCAGGAAAGATGAAACTCATGTGGAATCATCCTCAGGTAGAGTAGGTTCAAGTTTGTTCAAATGATGACCCCTGGGGCAAGGGCGGGCCAAAATGGCCGACCCAAGTTTTACATAGGAATATATAGGAAAAATCTTTAAAAATCTTCTTCTCAAGAACCACTGGGCCAGGAAAGATGAAACTCATGCAGAATCATCCTCAGGTAGTGTAAATTCAAGTTTGTTCAAATCATGAGCCCCGGGGCTAGGGCGGGGCCAAAATGGCCGACCCAAGTTTTACATAGGAATATATAGGAAATATCTTTAAAAATCTTCTTCTCAAGAACCACTGGGCCAGGAAAGATGAGACTCATGTGGATTCATCCTCAGGTAGTGTAGGTTCAAGTTTGTTTAAATGATGACCCCTGGGGCAAGGGTGGGGCCAAAATGGCCGACCCAAATTTTACATAGGAATATATAGGAAATATCTTTAAAAATCTTCTTCTCAAGAACCACTGGGCCAGGAAAGATGAAACTCATGTGGAATCATCCTCAGGTAGTGTAAATTCAAGTTTGTTCAAATCATGAGCCCCGGGGCTAGGGCGGGGCTAAAATGGCCGACCCAAGTATTACATAGGAATATATAGGAAATATCTTTAAAAATCTTCTTCTCAAGAACCACTGGGCCAGGAAAGATAAAACACATGTGGAAACATCCTGAGGTAGTGTAGATGCAAATTTGTTCAAATCATGACCCCCAGGGCTAGGGCTGGGCCGAAATGGCCGACCCAAGTTTTACATATGAAGATATAGGAAAAATCTTTAAAAATCTTCTCCTCAAGAACCATTGAGACAGGAAAGATAAAACTCATCTGAAATTATCCTTAGGTATTGAAGATTCAGGTTTGTTCAAATCATGACTCCTGGGTCTCAGGGTGGGGCCAAAATGGCCGACCCAAGTTTTACATAGGGATATATTGGGAGACCAATATATTTAAAATCTTCTTTTCAAGTACTTCAAAGCCATGATTAGTGATATTTATATGGAATCATCCTAAGGTAGTGTAGATTCTAGTTCAAATCATGAACCCCTGGGGGGATAAAATTCAAGCCCCCCCCCCTCCCCCCACCATCACCTCAGTAAACTTCAGTTCTGATCTGATATGTGTTTTTTCCTAGCCGATGTGCTCAGGTGAGCGCTGTGGCCCCTGGGCCTCTTGTTTTTAGGTAAATTTCATTTTCAGTATGTCTATGCCCTACATTAATCAGAAATACATTGAAGATGGTTTCATTTTGAATGCTTTCATTTCAGCTGAAGAAGTTCTGCATGTTATCTTTTTTAGCTCACCTCAACAAAGTTAGGGGGAAGTTGTGTGATGCCCTCTGCATCAACATCGGCTTCCAAGGTCAAAGTTTTTAATGCAGTTTATAAGTACCCGTAGTTGTATGCTCTACATTGATCAGATATGCATATAAAAAGCTTCTTGTGTGTTTCATTATACCAGTCAAGGTTTCAGATGCTTCTACTTGAGCAAAGGAATGACCAGGTTAATCTTTGTTGGGGCAGCTTAGGTTAATGTTTTCTGTGCAGGTCTCATTTCCAAGTAAATACGAGGGTTGACCCATAAAATTGTGGACAAACCTGACAGGTTAAAAGTTTTGGTGCAGATCTTTTTTTTTTGTTGAGCAATTATAAGCACAATGTTAATCAAACTTGCATGAGTGATACTTTTAAGGATGCATACTACCAGGGTACCCTCAGATGCTTGATCTAACCTACATTTCCTGGATGATGGAGTAACAGGTTAATTTTTTAGAACATGGTCAGTCTAAAGTAACTATAATTATTTAAGCCAAGTTTGGATAAGATTACATGTATCTAAGGATGCACAGTATTAGGCTTGCATTTAGATTTTCCAGATGAGTAATTTTGGGAAATACACATTTACTTTAGATTATTAGTTTAATTAAATTTTCAATGTCCAGTTTATCATATGATAAGTAATCTTGCATATTATTTTCTTTGTAGTGTGCAAAAAAATACATACATTCATTTCTAAGAATCCAGTCGTTTTGAAAGACTATGACTACAAAGAAAAAGTGAAAAAGATCCGCATCAAAGTGATTAATCTTAGAAGGCAGAACAGGCAGAGATACTTCAAATACATGGACAAGATACAACATAATTAAATGCATGGGACAAAACCAGATTGCGCTTTCAAATTGATGATTCTCAACTGAAAGGTTTGAAAAATGAATACCGTAAATCTGGAAATTTTCAAGTTGATGTATTTTTGCGAATTCTGGTCAAAAATGCTGTTGAGTAGATTGTATGCTTCGAAATTTGGCAAATTGTCACTGGTACTAAAAATAATCAAAGTACTCAGAAGTACTGAAAGCCGCTCTCATTTACAGGGTAATGAACAAGGACAGTTTAAAAATAAGCTGACACAGACATTGAAAAGATGATTATATAATTATATCTATATTTGTCATATATAGCATTAAAAAGCTTTAAAATTAATTAAAATGTAGCTAGAAATTAACAGCGTAAAATATTTGTCACATGCATCGTTTCGGGGTTTTACATACCAACAGAAGTTAATAAACACTGATGCAGCAAGAATATTTAAGGTCAAACAATTATGCACAGACAGGTCCTCAGCGGGGAGTTTTGCATCAAAGCGTACATCAAGTCACAATCAGTGTTCCCCGCATTTGTATAAGCCTGATAGTACACCCTTTATTTTTAGAATATGACGCAGACAGGGATACCTGATGAAAACCTTTCGCATATTTTAACCAAATGATTAATTATCGAAAACGATATAAAGTATTTTTTATAATTATTTTTTGACAATTTCAGATAACTATGAAAATAATTCAGTGTTTGTATTGCCTCAAAGGTGATTGCGCAGACGTACTATATTCTAACTAGTAAATTTAATTTGGCGGTGAAGAGGCAGCATTTTCTGTTGCTCACCGTAGCAATAGCCGGGCATTTCTCTACGAGAAATGAGCCCGGCTAAAAATCACTGAGGATGTTCATATCAGGTTATGTTTCAAATTAGCATGCACACTGTCAGTTAGAATACCGCAAATATACAGTGAAACCAGTCTAATCCAACATGCACTGGCAGATGAATTTGTGTCAGAATAGACAGGGTGTCAGATTGCACAGTTTTAAAAACAAAAAAAATACTAAAATAGGAAAGAAATTTAACACTGGAATCCACACTGTATGGGATTATTCATGCAGGTGTCAGATAAGACAGTTTTTACTGTACTCACAATCTGGCAAGATATTGCAGAATCGCTCTGAAACAAATTTGATAAAAATTCAAAAGTATTTGCACTGAAAATAATTTCTAAAACAATTTTTAAAAACCCTTTAGAGGTTGTGTATGCCTTTTTACCTAAAGTATAATCCAAATAAAGACAAAAGTATTAAAAAATTTTCTCAACGTTTGTTTTTTTTTTCACCTAAAATTTACATGCTGTGTTAACATTTGAAACTCTCAAGTGAATGCACTGAGATCGAGTTATCATCCGTGTTGATACATAGTTAGCTAAAATAACTGGCCTCTCTATCTTGGCAAAATACTTTAAAAGGGACATACTGCCTCATGCAGTGCTTGTCATACCATCAGACAATATTGCATATAACGAGGGCAATTTACACGCATGGGTAATTAACTTATATAAGTATAAAACATGTTTCTTTTAAAATATGGCCAGTGATTACCGAAGCCTATACAATGAGATAAAAAAGGCATCAGCTTTCAGAAAAAACTTAACATGTTGATTTATTTTTAAGAAAAAAATATTTTTGCAAATGCAATGCACTTGCAAATTTGTTGAAAATTGTATCTACAGTAAAAATTTCCAGATTTACAGTTTAACTTCATTTTATCTTAATGATTCAAAGTTAAGCTTTTTAGTTCACCTCAGCTAAAAACTTAAGTAATCTTTACTAATCACACTTTGTCTGTAGTCCGTCTGTCTGTCTGTCAGTAAACTTTTTACATTTTCAACTTCTTCTTCAGTACCACCGGGCCGATTTCAACCAAACTTTCCACAAACTTAAGTATCATTGGATGGAGAGTTTTCTCTGCTCTTATTTTGTATTGTTTAATGGGCTTTTGATTTTGAAAACTATTCTTTATTTAAATATAGATAATGATGTACAACTGTTGTGATCTGTGAATACTTGTTGAATCATTCTGCTTGCTGTTTGAAAGAGAAGGCCCTTTGCAACAGAGAGTGGAACTTTCGCCAACCCACAATCTGGAGGCTTTGAGGTCATTTGAAGGACACATCATTTCCCGCAGTAAGAATTCTTTAGAAGGAATAATGCAGTTAAAGTTTGCTGTTTGAAAGAGAAGGCCCTTTGCAACAGAGTGTGGAACTTTCGCCAACCCACACTCTTGAGGCTTTGAGGTCATTTGAAGGACACATCATTTCCCGCAGTAAGAATTTTTTTGAGGGTGGAATGCATTTTATGTTTAGTATACATTCAAACAGGGTATTGTTTTTTCATGTTTATTGTAATAAGTGTCAATATTTCAGACCCATGAAATGATGTACAACTGTTGTGATCTGTGAATACTTGTTGAATCATCCTGCTTGCCTGTTTGAGAAAGAAGGCCCTTTGCAACAGAGAGTGGAACTTTCGCCAACCCATAATCTGGAGGCTTTGAGGTCATTTGAAGGACACATCATTTCCCGCAGTAAGAATTCTTTAGAAGGAATAATGCAGTTTAAGTTTAATGAACATTTCAAAAAAGAGGATTGTTTTTAATGTTAAGTATAATGAGTGTTAATATTTCAGACCCATGAAATGATGTACAACTGTTGTGCTCTGTGAATACTTGTTGAATCATCCTGCTTGCCTGTTTGAGAAAGAAGGCCCTTTGCAACAGAGAGTGGAACTTTCGCCAACCCACAATCTGGAGGCTTTGAGGTCATTTGAAGGACACATCATTTCCCACAGTAAGAATTCTTTAGAAGGAATAATGCAGTTTAAGTTTAATGAACATTTCAAAAAAGAGGATTGTTTTTATACCCCCCGCAAACGAAGTTTGGGGGGGTATATAGGGATCACCTTGTCCGTCTGTCTGTCTGTCCGTCTGTCTGTGCAATCGTGTCTGGTCCATATCTTTCTTACAAAGGGACATTAGAATCTACTACTCCACATTAAGATTGCTCATAACCTAAGGGTGTGTCATGACCTTGACCCAAGGTCTTTTGGGGAAGTTCAAGGTCACTGGAAGAAAAATTTCATAATTCCTGTCCGGTCCATATCTTTCTTATGGATAAGCTTGGTAGGTTCTCATTTCACACAAAGATTGCCCATGACCCAAGGGTGTGTCATGACTTTGACCCAAGGTCATTTGGGGAAATTCAAGGTCACTGGGAGAAAAATTTCAAAAATTCATGTTTGACACATATCTTTTATGGATAAGCTTGGTAGGTTTTCATTTCACACAAAGATTGCCCATGACCAAAGGGTGTGTTATGACCTTGACCGAAGGTCATTTGGGGAAGTTCAAGGTCACTGGAAGAAAAATTTCATAATTTGTGTCCAGTCTATATCTTTCTTATGGATGAACTTGGTAGGTTTTCATTTCGCATAAAGATTGCCCATGACCCAAGGGTGTGTCATGACTTTGACCCAAGGTCATTTGGGGAAGTTCAAGGTCACTGGAAGAAAAATTTCATAATTAGTGACCAGTCTATATCTTTCTTATGGATAAACTTGGTAGGTTTTCATTTCACATAAAGATTGCCCATGACCCAAGAGTGTGTCATGACCTTGACCCAAGGTCATTTGGGGAAGTTCAAGGTCACTGGTAGAAAAATTTAATAATTCGTGTCCGGTCCTTATCTTTCTTAAGGATAAACTTGGTAGGTTTTCATTTCATACAAAGATTACCCATGACCCAAGGGTGTGTCATGACCTTGACCCAAGGTCATGTGGGGAAGTTCAAGGTCACTGGAAGAAAAATTTCATAATTCGTGTCCGGTCCATATCTTTCTTATGGATATACTTGGTAGGTTCTTATTTCACTCAAAGATTGCCCATGATCCAAGGGTGTGTCATGACCTTGACCCAAGGTCATTTGGGGAAGTTCAAGGTCACTGGAAGAAAAATTTTATAATTCGTGTTTGATACATATCTTTATTATACAAAAACTTACTTCTGAAAAACCCAGCGGGGGGTATTTTGTCCCGATTGGACAGTTCTAGTTAATGTTAAGTATAATGAGTGTTAATATTTCAGACCCATGAAATGATGTACAACTGTTATGCTCTGTGAATACTTGTTGAATCATCCTGCTTGCCTGTTTGAGAAAGAACGCCCTTTGCAACAGAGTGTGGAACTTTCGCCAACCCACACTCTTGAGGCTTTGAGGTCATTTGAAGGACACATCATTTCCCGCAGTAAGAATTCTTTTGAGGGAGGAATGCAGTTTATGTTTAGTATACATTCTAAAAAAGAGTATTGTTTTTTCATGTTTTTCGTAATAAGTGTTAATATTTCAGACCCATGAAATGATGTACAACTGTTGTGCTCTGTGAAAACTTGTTGAATCATCCTGCTTGCCTGTTTGAGAAAGAAGTCCCTTTGCAACAGAGAGTGGAACTTTCGCCAACCCACAATCTGGAGGCTTTGAGGTCATTTGAAGGACACATCATTTCCCGCAGTAAGAATTTCTTTTTTTGGAGGAGTTTAGTTTATATTTAATGTCCATTTATAAAAAGGTTATAGTTTTTTAAGTTTATTGTAATGTGTTTTGTTTTTCCAGACTCATGAAATGATGTACAACTGTTGTGATCTGTGAATACTTGTTGAATCACTCTGATTGCCTGTTTGAAAGAGAAGGCCCTTTGCAACAGAGAGTGGAACTTTCGCCAACCCACAATCTGGAGGCTTTGAGGTCATTTGAAGGACACATCATTTCCCGCAGTAAGAATTCTTTAGAAGGAATAATGCAGTTTAAGTTTAATGAACATTTCAAAAAAGAGGATTGTTTTTAATGTTAAGTATAATGAGTGTTAATATTTCAGACCGATGAAATGATGTACAACTTTTATGCTCTGTGAATACTTGTTGAATCATCCTGCTTGCCTGTTTGAGAAAGAAGGCCCTTTGCAACAGAGTGTGGAACTTTCGCCAACCCACACTCTTGAGGCTTTGAGGTCATTTGAAGGACACATCATTTCCCGCAGTAAGAATTTTTTTGAGGGTGGAATGCATTTTATGTTTAGTATACATTCAAAAAGGGTATTGTTTTTTCATGTTTATTGTAATAAGTGTCAATATTTCAGACCCATGAAATGATGTACAACTGTTGTGATCTGTGAATACTTGTTGAATCATCCTGCTTGCCTGTTTGAGAAAGAAGTCCCTTTGCAACAGAGAGTGGAACTTTCGCCAACCCACAATCTGGAGGCTTTGAGGTCATTTGAAGGACACATCATTTCCCGCAGTAAGAATTTCTTTTTTTGGAGGAGTTTAGTTTATATTTAATGTCCATTTATAAAAAGGTTATAGTTTTTAAGTTTATTGTAATGTGTTTTGTTTTTCCAGACCCATGAAATGATGTACAACTGTTGTGATCTGTGAATACTTGTTGAATTACTCTGATTGCCTGTTTGAAAGAGAAGGCCCTTTGCAACAGAGAGTGGAACTTTCGCCAACCCATAATCTGGAGGCTTTGAGGTCATTTGAAGGACACATCATTTCCCGCAGTAAGATTTTTTTTTTTTGAGGAGTTTAGTTTATATTTAATGTCCATTTATAAAAAGGTTATAGTTTTTTAAGTTTATTGTAATGTGTTTTGTTTTTCCAGACCCATGAAATGATGTACAACTGTTGTGATCTGTGAATACTTGTTGAATCACTCTGATTGCCTGTTTGAAAGAGAAGGCCCTTTGCAACAGAGAGTGGAACTTTCGCCAACCCACAATCTGGAGGCTTTGAGGTCATTTGAAGGACACATCATTTCCCGCAGTAAGAATTTCTTTTTTTGGAGGAGTTTAGTTTATATATAATGTCCATTTATAAAAAGGTTATAGTTTTTTAAGTTAATCGAATGTGTTTTGTTTTTCCAGACCCATGAAATGATGTACAACTGTTGTGATCTGTGAATACTTGTTGAAACATCCTGCTTGCCTGTTTGAGAAAGAAGGCCCTTTGCAACAGAGAGTGGAACTTTCGCCAACCAACAATCTGGAGGCTTTGAGGTCATTTGAAGGACACATCATTTCCCGCAGTAAGAATTTCTTTTTTTGGGGGAGTTTAGTTTATATTTAATGTCCATTTATAAAAAGGTTATAGTTTTTTAAGTTTATCGAATGTGTTTTGTTTTTCCAGACCCATGAAATGATGTACAACTGTTGTGATCTGTGAATACTTGTTGAATCATCCTGCTTGCCTGTTTGAGAAAGAAGGCCCTTTGCAACAGAGAGTGGAACTTTCGCCAACCCACAATCTGGAGGCTTTGAGGTCATTTGAAGGACACATCATTTCCCGCAGTAAGAATTCTTTTGAAGGAATAATGCAGTTTAAGTTTAATGTACATTTCAAAAAAGAGGATTGATTTTAATGTTAAGTGTAATGAGTGTTAATATTTCAGACCCATGAAATGATGTACAACTGTTGTGATCTGTGAATACTTGTTGAATCATCCTGCTTGCCTGTTTGAAAGAGATGGCCCTTTGCAACAGAGAGTGGAACTTTCGCCAACCCATAATCTGGAGGCTTTGAGGTCATATGAAGGACACATCATTTCCCGCAGTAAGAATTCTTTTGAGGGAGGAATGCAGTTTTTGTTTAGTATACATTCAAAAAGGGTATTGTTTTTTCATGTTTATTGTAATAAGTGTCAATATTTCAGACCCATGAAATGATGTACAACTGTTGTGATCTGTGAATACTTGTTGAATCATCCTGCTTGCCTGTTTGAGAAAGAAGTCCCTTTGCAACAGAGAGTGGAACTTTCGCCAACCCACAATCTGGAGGCTTTGAGGTCATTTGAAGGACACATCATTTCCCGCAGTAAGAATTTCTTTTTTTGGAGGAGTTTAGTTTATATTTAATGTCCATTTATAAAAAGGTTATAGTTTTTTAAGTTTATTGTAATGTGTTTTGTTTTTCCAGACCCATGAAATGATGTACAACTGTTGTGATCTGTGAATACTTGTTGAATCACTCTGATTGCCTGTTTGAAAGAGAAGGCCCTTTGCAACAGAGAGTGGAACTTTCGCCAACCCACAATCTGGAGGCTTTGAGGTCATTTGAAGGACACATCATTTCCCACAGTAAGAATTTCTTTTTTTGGAGGAGTTTAGTTTATATTTAATGTCCATTTATAAAAAGGTTATAGTTTTTTAAGTTTATTGAATGTGTTTTGTTTTTCCAGACCCATGAAATGATGTACAACTGTTGTGATCTGTGAATACTTGTTGAAACATCCTGCTTGCCTGTTTGAGAAAGAAGGCCCTTTGCAACAGAGAGTGGAACTTTCGCCAACCCACAATCTGGAGGCTTTGAGGTCATTTGAAGGACACATCATTTCCCGCAGTAAGAATTTCTTTTTTTGGAGGAGTTTAGTTTATATTTAATGTCCATTTATAAAAAGGTTATAGTTTTTTAAGTTTATCGAATGTGTTTTGTTTTTCCAGACCCATGAAATGATGTACAACTGTTGTGATCTGTGAATACTTGTTGAATCATCCTGCTTGCCTGTTTGAGAAAGAAGTCCCTTTGCAACAGAGAGTGGAACTTTCGCCAACCCACAATCTGGAGGCTTTGAGGTCATTTGAAGGACACATCATTTCCCGCAGTAAGAATTTCTTTTTTTGGAGGAGTTTAGTTTATATTTAATGTCCATTTATAAAAAGGTTATAGTTTTTTAAGTTTATTGTAATGTGTTTTGTTTTTCCAGACCCATGAAATGATGTACAACTGTTGTGATCTGTGAATACTTGTTGAATCACTCTGATTGCCTGTTTTAAAGAGAAGGCCCTTTGCAACAGAGAGTGGAACTTTCGCCAACCCATAATCTGGAGGCTTTGAGGTCATTTGAAGGACACATCATTTCCCACAGTAAGAATTCTTTAGAAGGAATAATGCAGTTTAAGTTTAATGAACATTTCAAAAAAGAGGATTGTTTTTAATGTTAAGTATAATGAGTGTTAATATTTCAGACCCATGAAATGATGTACAACTGTTATGCTCTGTGAATACTTGTTGAATCATCCTGCTTGCCTGTTTGAGAAAGAAGGCCCTTTGCAACAGAGAGTGGAACTTTCGCCAACCCATAATCTGGAGGCTTTGAGGTCATTTGAAGGACACATCATTTCCCGCAGTAAGAATTTTTTTGAGGGTGGAATGCATTTTATGTTTAGTATACATTCAAAAAGGGTATTGTTTTTTCATGTTTATTGTAATGAGTGTTTTTATTTCAGACCCATGAAATGATGTACAACTGTTGTGATCTGTGAATACTTGTTGAATCATCCTGCTTGCCTGTTTGAGAAAGAAGGCCCTTTGCAACAGAGAGTGGAACTTTCGCCAACCCACAATCTGGAGGCTTTGAGGTCATTTGAAGGACACATCATTTCCCGCAGTAAGAATTTCTTGTTTTGGAGGAGTTTAGTTTATATTTAATGTCCATTTATAAAAAGGTTATAGTTTTTTAAGTTTATTGTAATGTGTTTTGTTTTTCCAGACCCATGAAATGATGTACAACTGTTGTGATCTGTGAATACTTGTTGAATCACTCTGATTGCCTGTTTGAAAGAGAAGGCCCTTTGCAACAGAGAGTGGAACTTTCGCCAACCCACAATCTGGAGGCTTTGAGGTCATTTGAAGGACACATCATTTCCCGCAGTAAGAATTTCTTTTTTTGGAGGAGTTTAGTTTATATTTAATGTCCATTTATAAAAAGGTTATAGTTTTTTAAGTTTATCGAATGTGTTTTGTTTTTCCAGACCCATGAAATGATGTACAACTGTTGTGATCTGTGAATACTTGTTGAATCATCCTGCTTGCCTGTTTGAGAAAGAAGGCCCTTTGCAACAGAGAGTGGAACTTTCGCCAACCCACAATCTGGAGGCTTTGAGGTCATTTGAAGGACACATCATTTCCCGCAGTAAGAATTTCTTTTTTTGGAGGAGTTTAGTTTATATTTAATGTCCATTTATAAAAAGGTTATAGTTTTTTAAGTTTATTGTAATGTGTTTTGTTTTTCCAGACCCATGAAATGATGTACAACTGTTGTGATCTGTGAATACTTGTTGAATCACTCTGATTGCCTGTTTTAAAGAGAAGGCCCTTTGCAACAGAGAGTGGAACTTTCGCCAACCCATAATCTGGAGGCTTTGAGGTCATTTGAAGGACACATCATTTCCCACAGTAAGAATTCTTTTGAAGGAATAATGCAGTTTAAGTTTAATGAACATTTCAAAAAAGAGGATTGTTTTTAATGTTAAGTATAATGAGTGTTAATATTTCAGACCCATGAAATGATGTACAACTGTTATGCTCTGTGAATACTTGTTGAATCATCCTGCTTGCCTGTTTGAGAAAGAAGGCCCTTTGCAACAGAGAGTGGAACTTTCGCCAACCCATAATCTGGAGGCTTTGAGGTCATTTGAAGGACACATCATTTCCCGCAGTAAGAATTTTTTTGAGGGTGGAATGCATTTTATGTTTAGTATACATTCAAAAAGGGTATTGTTTTTTCATGTTTATTGTAATAAGTGTCAATATTTCAGACCCATGAAATGATGTACAACTGTTGTGATCTGTGAATACTTGTTGAAACATCCTGCTTGCCTGTTTGAGAAAGAAGGCCCTTTGCAACAGAGAGTGGAACTTTCGCCAACCCACACTCTTGAGGCTTTGAGGTCATTTGAAGGACACATCATTTCCCGCAGTAAGAATTTTTTTTTTTGAGGAGTTTAGTTTATATTTAATGTCCATTTATAAAAAGGTTATAGTTTTTTAAGTTTATTGTAATGTGTTTTGTTTTTCCAGACCCATGAAATGATGTACAACTGTTGTGATCTGTGAATACTTGTTGAATCACTCTGATTGCCTGTTTGAAAGAGAAGGCCCTTTGCAACAGAGAGTGGAACTTTCGCCAACCCACAATCTGGAGGCTTTGAGGTCATTTGAAGGACACATCATTTCCCGCAGTAAGAATTTCTTTTTTTGGAGGAGTTTAGTTTATATTTAATGTCCATTTATAAAAAGGTTATAGTTTTTTAAGTTTATCGTAATGTGTTTTGTTTTTCCAGACCCATGAAATGATGTACAACTGTTGTGATCTGTGAATACTTGTTGAAACATCCTGCTTGCCTGTTTGAGAAAGAAGGCCCTTTGCAACAGAGAGTGGAACTTTCGCCAACCCACAATCTGGAGGCTTTGAGGTCATTTGAAGGACACATCATTTCCCGCAGTAAGAATTTCTTTTTTTGGAGGAGTTTAGTTTATATTTAATGTCCATTTATAAAAAGGTTATAGTTTTTTAAGTTTATTGTAATGTGTTTTGTTTTTCCAGACCCATGAAATGATGTACAACTGTTGTGATCTGTGAATACTTGTTGAATCACTCTGATTGCCTGTTTGAAAGAGAAGGCCCTTTGCAACAGAGAGTGGAACTTTCGCCAACCCATAATCTGGAGGCTTTGAGGTCATTTGAAGGACACATCATTTCCCACAGTAAGAATTCTTTAGAAGGAATAATGCAGTTTAAGTTTAATGAACATTTCAAAAAAGAGGATTGTTTTTAATGTTAAGTATAATGAGTGTTGTTATTTCAGACCCATGAAATGATGTACAACTGTTATGCTCTGTGAATACTTGTTGAATCATCCTGCTTGCCTGTTTGAGAAAGAAGGCCCTTTGCAACAGAGTGTGGAACTTTCGCCAACCCACAATCTGGAGGCTTTGAGGTCATTTGAAGGACACATCATTTCCCGCAGTAAGAATTTTTTTTTTTGAGGAGTTTAGTTTATATTTAATGTCCATTTATAAAAAGGTTATAGTTTTTTAAGTTTATTGTAATGTGTTTTGTTTTTCCAGACCCATGAAATGATGTACAACTGTTGTGATCTGTGAATACTTGTTGAATCATCTGATTGCCTGTTTGAAAGAGAAGGCCCTTTGCAACAGAGAGTGGAACTTTCGCCAACCCACAATCTGGAGGCTTTGAGGTCATTTGAAGGACACATCATTTCCCGCAGTAAGAATTTCTTTTTTTGGAGGAGTTTAGTTTATATTTAATGTCCATTTATAAAAAGGTTATAGTTTTTTAAGTTTAACGAATGTGTTTTGTTTTTCCAGACCCATGAAATGATGTACAACTGTTGTGATCTGTGAATACTTGTTGAAACATCCTGCTTGCCTGTTTGAGAAAGAAGGCCCTTTGCAACAGAGAGTGGAACTTTCGCCAACCCACAATCTGGAGGCTTTGAGGTCATTTGAAGGACACATCATTTCCCGCAGTAAGAATTTCTTTTTTTGGAGGAGTTTAGTTTATATTTAATGTCCATTTATAAAAAGGTTATAGTTTTTTAAGTTTATTGTAATGTGTTTTGTTTTTCCAGACCCATGAAATGATGTACAACTGTTGTGATCTGTGAATACTTGTTGAATCACTCTGATTGCCTGTTTGAAAGAGAAGGCCCTTTGCAACAGAGAGTGGAACTTTCGCCAACCCATAATCTGGAGGCTTTGAGGTCATTTGAAGGACACATCATTTCCCACAGTAAGAATTCTTTTGAAGGAATAATGCAGTTTAAGTTTAATGAACATTTCAAAAAAGAGGATTGTTTTTAATGTTAAGTGTAATGAGTGTTAATATTTCAGACCCATGAAATGATGTACAACTGTTATGCTCTGTGAATACTTGTTGAATCATCCTGCTTGCCTGTTTGAGAAAGAAGGCCCTTTGCAACAGAGTGTGGAACTTTCGCCAACCCACAATCTGGAGGCTTTGAGGTCATTTGAAGGACACATCATTTCCCGCAGTAAGAATTTTTTTTTTTGGAGGAGTTTAGTTTATATTTAATGTCCATTTATAAAAAGGTTATAGTTTTTTAAGTTTATTGTAATGTGTTTTGTTTTTCCAGACCCATGAAATGATGTACAACTGTTGTGATCTGTGAATACTTGTTGAATCACTCTGATTGCCTGTTTGAAAGAGAAGGCCCTTTGCAACAGAGAGTGGAACTTTCGCCAACCCACAATCTGGAGGCTTTGAGGTCATTTGAAGGACACATCATTTCCCGCAGTAAGAATTTCTTTTTTTGGAGGAGTTTAGTTTATATTTAATGTCCATTTATAAAAAGGTTATAGTTTTTTAAGTTTATCGAATGTGTTTTGTTTTTCCAGACCCATGAAATGATGTACAACTGTTGTGATCTGTGAATACTTGTTGAAACATCCTGCTTGCCTGTTTGAGAAAGAAGGCCCTTTGCAACAGAGAGTGGAACTTTCGCCAACCCACAATCTGGAGGCTTTGAGGTCATTTGAAGGACACATCATTTCCCGCAGTAAGAATTTCTTTTTTTGGAGGAGTTTAGTTTATATTTAATGTCCATTTATAAAAAGGTTATAGTTTTTTAAGTTTATTGTAATGTGTTTTGTTTTTCCAGACCCATGAAATGATGTACAACTGTTGTGATCTGTGAATACTTGTTGAATCACTCTGATTGCCTGTTTTAAAGAGAAGGCCCTTTGCAACAGAGAGTGGAACTTTCGCCAACCCATAATCTGGAGGCTTTGAGGTCATTTGAAGGACACATCATTTCCCACAGTAAGAATTCTTTAGAAGGAATAATGCAGTTTAAGTTTAATGAACATTTCAAAAAAGAGGATTGTTTTTAATGTTAAGTATAATGAGTGTTAATATTTCAGACCCATGAAATGATGTACAACTGTTATGCTCTGTGAATACTTGTTGAATCATCCTGCTTGCCTGTTTGAGAAAGAAGGCCCTTTGCAACAGAGTGTGGAACTTTCGCCAACCCACAATCTGGAGGCTTTGAGGTCATTTGAAGGACACATCATTTCCCGCAGTAAGAATTTTTTTGAGGGTGGAATGCATTTTATGTTTAGTATACATTCAAAAAGGGTATTGTTTTTTCATGTTTATTGTAATAAGTGTCAATATTTCAGACCCATGAAATGATGTACAACTGTTGTGATCTGTGAATACTTGTTGAAACATCCTGCTTGCCTGTTTGAGAAAGAAGGCCCTTTGCAACAGAGAGTGGAACTTTCGCCAACCCACACTCTTGAGGCTTTGAGGTCATTTGAAGGACACATCATTTCCCGCAGTAAGAATTTTTTTGAGGGTGGAATGCAGTTTAAGTTTAATGAACATTTCAAAAAAGAGGATTGTTTTTAATGTTAAGTATAATGATGATGTGTTAATATTTCAGACCCATGAAATGATGTACAACTGTTATGCTCTGTGAATACTTGTTGAATCATCCTGCTTGCCTGTTTGAGAAAGAAGGCCCTTTGCAACAGAGTGTGGAACTTTCGCCAACCCATAATCTGGAGGCTTTGAGGTCATTTGAAGGACACATCATTTCCCGCAGTAAGAATTTTTTTGAGGGTGGAATGCATTTTATGTTTAGTATACATTCAAAAAGGGTATTGTTTTTTCATGTTTATTGTAATAAGTGTTGTATTTCAGACCCATGAAATGATGTACAACTGTTGTGATCTGTGAATACTTGTTGAAACATCCTGCTTGCCTGTTTGAGAAAGAAGGCCCTTTGCAACAGAGAGTGGAACTTTCGCCAACCCACACTCTTGAGGCTTTGAGGTCATTTGAAGGACACATCATTTCCCGCAGTAAGAATTTTTTTGAGGGTGGAATGCAGTTTAAGTTTAATGAACATTTCAAAAAAGAGGATTGTTTTTAATGTTAAGTATAATGAGTGTTAATATTTCAGACCCATGAAATGATGTACAACTGTTGTGATCTGTGAATACTTGTTGAAACATCCTGCTTGCCTGTTTGAGAAAGAAGGCCCTTTGCAACAGAGTGTGGAACTTTCGCCAACCCACACTCTTGAGGCTTTGAGGTCATTTGAAGGACACATCATTTCCCGCAGTAAGAATTTTTTTGAGGGTGGAATGCATTTTATGTTTAGTATACATTCAAAAAGGGTATTGTTTTTTCATGTTTATTGTAATAAGTGTCAATATTTCAGACCCATGAAATGATGTACAACTGTTGTGATCTGTGAATACTTGTTGATTCACTCTGATTGCCTGTTTGAGAAAGAAGACCCTTTGCAACAGAGAGTGGAACTTTCGCCAACCCACAATCTGGAGGCTTCGAGGTCATTTGAAAGACACATCATTTCCCGCAGTAAGAATTCTTTTCAGGGAGGAATGCAGTTTAAGTTTTATGAATTCATAAAAAGAGTATTGTTTTTCATGTTAAGTGTTATGAGTGTTGTAATTTCAGACCCATGAAATGATGTACAATTGTTGTGATCTGTGAATACTTGTTGAATCATCCTGCTTGCCTGTTTGAGAAAGAAGGCCCTTTGCAACAGAGAGTGGAACTTTCGCCAACCCACAATCTGGAGGCTTTGAGGTCATTTGAAGGACACATCATTTCCTGCAGTAAGAATTCTTTTCTGGGAGGAATGCTGTTTAAGTTTAATGTACATCTATAAAAAGAGTATTGTTTTTAGCTCTACTTGTCAGAGACCAGAAGAGCTTATGCAATAGTAATGTGTCCGGCATCCGTCCGTCTGTCTGTCTGTCTGTAAACAATTTTTCAAAATGCTACTCCTCTTACAGAGTTGGTTCCATTTCAATATATCTTGGCACACAAGTAGACTACACTAAGATACATAATTCTGTGCATCGGTTTTTGATTTTTCAATAAATGGTGTTGCCATGGTTACTAAAAATAGAAATTTCTGTGAAATTCTTTCAAAATGCTACTCCTCCTACAGTTTTGGTTCTATTTCAATATAACTTGGCACACAAGTAGACTACACTAAGATACATAATTCTGTGCAGCGGTTTTTGATATCGATGAACAGTGTTGCCATGGTTACTAAAATAGAAATTTCTTTGAAATTCTTTCAAAATGCTACTCCTCCTACAGTTTTGATTCTTTTTCAGTGTAACTTGGCACATGAGTAGACTACACTAAGATACATAATACTACGCATCGGTTTTTGCTTTGATGAGTGGCAAGGATCATTTTTCTAATTATTGCTGTTTTTAAACTTTCATGTCGCAACTGCTACTTTTCCTTTGTTTTAAGTATAAACCAGTAGAGCTACAGTCTTGACAGAGACTTCTGGTTCATGTTTATTGTAATGTGTGTTGTCATTTCAGACCCATGAAATGATGTACAACTGTTGTGATCTGTGAATATTTGTTGAATGAACCTGCTTGCCTGTTTGAGAAAGAAGGCCCTTTGCAACAGAGAGTGGAACTTTCGCCAACCCACAATCTGGAGGCTTTGAGGTCATTTGAAGGACACATCATTTCCCGCAGTAAGAATTCTTTTCTGGGAGGAATGCTGTTTAAGTTTAATGTACATCTATAAAAAGAGTATTGTTTGTAATGTTAAGTGTAATGAGTGTTGTAATTTCAGACCCATGAAATGATGTACAACTGTTGTGATCTGTGAATATTTGTTGAATGATCCTGCGTGCCTGTTTGAGAAAAAAGGCCCTTTGCAACAGAGCGTGGAACTTTCGCCAACCCACAATCTGGAGGCTTTGAGGTCATTTGAAGGACACATCATTTCCCGCAGTAAGAATTCTTTTCTGGGACAAATGCAGCTTAAGTTTTATATACATTCATAAAAAGAGTATTGTTTTTTTGTTAAGTGTAATGAGTGTAAATATTTCAGACCTATGAAATGATGTTCAACTGTTGTGATCTGTGAATACTTGTTGAATGATCCTGCTTGCCTGTTTGAGATAAAAGGCTCTTTGCAACAGAGAGTGGAACTTTCGCCAACCCACAATCTGGAGGCTCTGAGGTCATTTGAAAGACACATCATTTCCCGCAGTAAGAATTCTTTTCAGGGACGAATGCAGTTTAAGTTTTATGAATTCATAAAAAAAGTATTGTTTTTTTTTGTTAAGTGTTATGAGTGTTGTAATTTCAGACCCATGAAATGATGTACAACTGTTGTGATCTGTGAATACTTGTTGAATCATCCTGCTTGCCTGTTTGAGAAAGAAGGCCCTTTGCAACAGAGAGTGGAACTTTCGCCAACCCACAATCTGGAGGCTTTGAGGTCATTTGAAGGACACATCATTTCCCGCAGTAAGAATTCTTTTCTGGGAGGAATGCTGTTTAAGTTTAATGTACATCTATAAAAAGAGTATTGTTTTTAGCTCTACTGGTCAGAGACCAGAAGAGCTTATGCAATAATAATGTTTCCGGCATCCGTCCGTCTGTCTGTCTGTAAACAATTTTTCAAAATGCTACTCCTCTTACAGAATTGGTTCCATTTCAATATATCTTGGCACACAAGTAGACTACACTAAGATACATAATTCTGTGCATCGGTTTTTGATTTTTCAATAAATGGTGTTGCCATGGTTACTAAAAATAGAAATTTCTGTGAAATTCTTTCAAAATGCTACTCCTCCTACTGTTTTGGTTCTATTTCAATATAACTTGGCACACAAGTAGACTACACTAAGATACATAATTCTGTGCAACGGTTTTTGATATCGATGAACAGTGTTGCCATGGTTACTAAAATAGAAATTTCTTTGAAATTCTTTCAAAATGCTACTCCTCCTACAGTTTTGATTCTTTTTCAGTGTAACTTGGCACATGAGTAGACTACACTAAGATACATAATACTTTGCATCGGTTTTTGCTTTGATGAGTGGCAAGAATCATTTTTCTAATTATTGCTGTTTTTTGAAAGTTTCATGTCGCAACTGCTACTTTTCCTTTGTTTTAAGTATAAACCAGTAGAGCTACAGTCTCGACAGAGACTTCTGGTTCATGTTTATTGTAATGTGTGTTGTCATTTCAGACCCATGAAATGATGTACAATTGTTGTGATCTGTGAATACTTGTTGAATCATCCTGCTTGCCTGTTTGAGAAAGAAGGCCCTTTGCAACAGAGAGTGGAACTTTCGCCAACCCACAATCTGGAGGCTTTGAGGTCATTTGAAGGACACATCATTTCCCGCAGTAAGAATTCTTTTCTGGGACAAATGCAGCTTAAGTTTTATATACATTCATAAAAAGAGTATTGTTTTTCATGTCAAGTGTTATGAGTGTAGTACTTTCAGACCCTTGGAATGATGTACAACTGTTGTGATCTGTGAATACTTGTTGAATCATCCTGCTTGCCTGTTTGAGAAAAAAGGCCCTTTGCAACAGAGAGTGGAACTTTCGCCAACCCACAATCTGGAGGCTTTGAGGTCATTTGAAGGACACATCATTTCCCGCAGTAAGAATTCTTTTCTGGGACAAATGCAGCTTAAGTTTTATATACATTCATAAAAAGAGTATTGTTTTTTTTGTTAAGTGTAATGAGTGTAAATATTTCAGACCCATGAAATGATGTACAACTGTTGTGATCTGTGAATACTTGTTGAATGATCCTGCTTGCCTGTTTGAGAAAGAAGGCCCTTTGCAACAGAGCGTGGAACTTTCGCCAACCAACAATCTGAAGGCTTTTAGGTCATTTGAAGGACACATCATTTCCCACAGTAAGAATTCCTTTCTGGGAGGAATGCTGTTTAAGTTTAATGTAACACAAATTCAGATCGATGCTATTTTAATTAGTCTTTCTTCGTTACATGAGCACATGAGATTAAATTATTCATTTTTTAGAATTCCATTCAAAGTTTTATTTAATACTATTAATCAATTATTTTACAAATAACAAATTTTGGGAGCATGTGTTCTAACATGTCTAAGTAAAAGTTCTATGCTATGACATACAATCGAGCAAAAAACGCAGTTTCTTGATATCGGTCGTGGAAGACGAACTACTGCTGTTTATGCAGCAATTTCAGAGGTAAAACTGTAGATGGACACGTCATCAGTGTCCAAAAAATTCCCAGAGACGCAGAGAAGAAAATATTGCGGCAGCAGGCTAGATTTATTAGTAAAAACTGTATAACTAAACTTGAAATTCGTTATATTTGTTCTGCACATTTTGTATAAATAATATCAATCCGTCTGCAGAACATCCACTACCGAAAATTATCTTTTGTTTTGTTTTGTTTTTTCAAATAGGCCTATTCGAATATGTGTCAGCATTTTATCAGTAATTTGTTTCAGGATTTTTTGGTAAGGGGGGGGGGGGGGGGGGGGGGGGGGGGGGGGTGTCACAGCGCCTTATTATACGACTATAAAGATTAATACAAATCCAGAAGTAGACTATGTGTGGGCAATTTAAAAAAATACGAATCAGCTAAGATTTCTTTTTTTAGCTCACCTGAGCCGATGGCTCAAGTGAGCTTTTCTGATCACATTTTGTCCGGTGTCCGTCTGTCCGTCTGTCCGTCTGTCTGTCTGTAAACTTTTCACATTTTCGACTTCTTCTCAAGAACCGCTGGGCCAATTTCAACCAAACTTGCCACAAAGTAACCTTGGGTGAAGGGAATTCAAGTTTGTTCAAATGAAGGGCCACGCCCTCATTCAAGGGGAGATAATTGGGAATTAATGAAAATTTGGTGGCATATTTTAAAAATCTTCTTCTCAAGAACCACTGTGCCAATAAAGATGAAACTTATGGGGAAACATCCTCAGGAAGTGTAGATTCAAGTATGTTCAAATCATGACCCCCGGGGGTAGGGCGGGGCCAAAATGGCCGACCAAAGTTTTACATAGAAATATATAGGAAAATTCTTATAAAATCTTCTTCTCAAGAATGACAAAGCCATATTTCATCATATTTATATGGAAGCATGCTCAGGTAGTGTAGATTCAAGTTTGTTCAAATCATGACCCCCGGGGGTAGGGCAGGGCCAAAATGGCCGACCAAAGTTTTACAAAGAAATATATAGGAAAATTCTTTTAAAATCTTCTCAAGAATGACAAAGCCATATTTCATCATATTTATATGGAAGCATGATCCGGTAGTGTAGATTCAAGTTTGTTCAAATCATGACCCCCGGGGGTAGGGCGGGGCCAAAATGGCAGACCAATGTTTTACATAGAAATATATATGAAAATTCTTTTAAAATCTTCTTCTCAAGAATGACAAAGCCATATTTCATAATATTTATATGGAAGCATGCTCAGGTAGTGTAGATTCAAGTTTGTTCAAATCATGACCCCGGGGGGTAGGGCGAGGCCAAAATGGCAGACCAAAGTTTTACATAGAAATATATAGGAAAATTCTTTTAACATCTTCTTCTCAAGAATGACAAAGCCATAATTCATCATATTTATATGGAAGCATGCTCAGGTAGTGTAGATTCAAGTTTGTTCAAATCATGACCCCCGAGGGTAGGGCGGGGCCAAAATGGCAGACCAATGTTTTACATAGAAATATATATGAAAATTCTTTAAAAATCTTCTTCTCAAGAATGACAAAGCCATATTTCATAATATTTATATGGAAGCATGCTCAGGTAGTGTAGATTCAAGTTTGTTCAAATCATGACCCCGGGGGGTAGGGCGAGGCCAAAATGTCCGACCCAAGTTTTACATAGGAATATTTAGGAAATATCTTTAAAAATCCTTCTAATGAACCACTGGGCCAGAAGAGTAAAACTCATGTGGAATCATCCTCAGGTAGTGTAGATTCAAGTTTGTTCAAATCTGACCCCCGGGGCTAGGGTGGGGCAAAAAATGGCTGACCCAATTTTTACATAGGGATATATAGGGAAACCTTTTAAAATCTTCTTTTAAAGTACTTCAAAGCTATGATTAGTGATATTTATATGGAATCATCCTCAGGTAGTGTAGATTCTAGTTTGTTCAAATGCCTGGAGGGGGGGGGGGGGTTAAGTTCAAGCCCGAGGTGAGCGCTGTGGCCCATGGGCCTCTTGTTTCAGGAACCAACCATGCCTTTAGAAGTAGACACAGATGGATACAATTTATCATCAATAAAACCATGGAGATCAAAGGAATGAAACAAAAAAACTGTTGGTATTCTCTTTCGTTTCATTTTTGTATCTTAATATTTATACACTGTATGTATCTATATAAAATGCATGTTGCTTGTAGACATATTGGCTCTACTGGTCAAAGATCAGAAAAGCTTAACATGCATTGGTAAAATGTTTGTCATCCATCTGGTTGTCTGTCAACAGATTTTAAAATGTTGATCTTCTTACAATTTGGGATAATTTAGTAGAACTCAGTACAAAAGTAGATTTTACATTAAGTCTACATTAAGATAGATTTTATTAGTTGGACTTTGCCATCATTTCAATTATTGAATTTGCTATGGTCATAAAAACTAAATTTCTTTGAAATGCTTTCAAATTTCTACCTCCCAATCAGTGAGGTTGCAGTACATTAGAAAACTACACTAAAGTACACAATTCTATGCATATGATACAATTTCATTAAACGTGGTGCCCTGATAATGGATTTCTTTGGTATTGCCTAAAGATTAAAGTATTTTTGTGAAATATCTTTAAAAATGCCACTGTATTTCCAGATTTTTTTTAAATTCAATAGAACTTACGGTAAATTTTAAGTATTCAAATGACAAAAAAGGGTCATTTTGGTGGATTTTAGAAAACATCAGAAACACATTTTTTGATTAACAAAAAATTTACATAAGTTTCAATTTCATATACATTTCTTATTTTGACCGCACAAACCAGTATTGAGCAGCAGTCGTGTAGTTCAACAATGTCAGTTCTGTATTAAAATGGGAATATATTTATGAAAACCAGAAAAATACTTATTTTCACATATGCATCATTTTAAACATTTTAGTAAACATGGTTAACATAGTTGTTTGAGGGAGGTTAAAAAACAAAACACAAATTTGTACTTTCTATATTTTTATGCCCCGGTAAACAAAGTTTCGGGGTGTATAGTTTTTGTCATGTCTGTCTGTCTGTCTGTCTCTCTGTTTGTCTGTTTGTCTGCAAAAACTTTAACCTTGCCCATAACTTTTGATTTAGTGGAGCTATGACTTTCATATTTCATATGTGTATTCCTTGTGACAAGACCTTTTTTTGGGTACCACCAAATTTGACCTTTTTACCTTGACCTTGGAGTTTGACCCACTTTTACATGAAAATTTTAAAATTATACTTTGGCCATATCTTTTGAACAGTAAACACCAGGACATTTATACTTCACATATATAATGTTTGTTAAAAGACCTTTCACTGGATACCAACAACTTTGACCCTTTGACCTTGACCTTGTAGATTTTTTTACTTGTAAAAAAAACATTAACCTTGGCCATAACTTTTGTACGGTAAAGGATAGGGCTTTCATACTTCATACATGTAATCCTTGTGAGAAGACCCTTCATTGGATACCAAGAACTTTGACCCTTTGACCTTGACCTTTGAGATTGACCTTCTTTAAAAAAGCAAACCTTGACCATAACTTTTAAAGAGTTAGGGCCAGTGCTTTCATACTTTACATATTTGATCCTTATGACAAGACCTTTCTTTAGGTACCACCAAATTTGACCTTTTGACCTTGACCTTGGAGTTTGACCCACTTTTACTTGAAAATTTTAAAATTTTACTTTGGCCATATCTTTTGAACAGTAAACACCAGGACATTTATACTTCACATATATAATGTTTGTTAAAAGACCTTTTACTGGATAACAACAACTTTGACCCTTTGACCTTGACTTTGTAGATTTCCTTGTGAAAAAACTTTAACCTTGGCCATAACTTTTGAACAGTAAGGGATAGGGCTTTCATACTACATACATGTAATCCTTGTGAGAAGACCCTTCATTGGATACCAAGAACTTTAACCCTTTGACCTTGACCTTTGAGATTGACTTACTTTAAAAAAGCAAACCTTGACCATAACTTTTAGGGCTAGTGCTTTCATACTTTACATATTTGATTATTATGACAAGACCTTTCATTTGATAACAATTACTTTGACCCCTTGACCTTGACCTTGGAGTTTGACCTACTTTTTAAGAAATTGAATGTTGACCATACCTTCTGAATGGTTAGGGCTAGGGCTTTCATGCTCTTCAAAAGTATTTATGTGGCAAGACCTTTCATTTGATACTAATTACATTGACCTTTTGACCTTGGAGATATTTGTAATTATTAAAAAACTTTAACATTAGCTTACTTTCAATTTCACAATTGTTTTCCAGTGAGAATACCCTACTTTTGGTACCTATTAATTAAATTTGCAATTAAGAAAAGCTTATTCTTTGCTATGTTGCCATACGGGGGCATCAGTGTTTTACAAACACATCTTGTTCTAAAGGTTTTTTTCTTAGTTGATTAATGTAAATATGATGGATTTCATTTTTTCTTCATTTTCATAATAATAAGAACATATTTCTATTTACACAATGTATAGTAAATTCAATAAATGCTGAACTTTCCCATTTTAATACAGCACAGACTTTTCGCTCATTGTAAGTGTCTCCATGTACTTAGAATCTGGTAGGGCAACATGGACACTTCTGAATGAGCGACAATGAGTCTGGGGGCCCAGGCGATACCCCTGCCCTTGAGCAGATAATACAGTTGACAGAAACTTGAACTGACACTTGATTTCTAGATTCTTTTAAGTTAGCTCTTCAGAACTGAATTTGCATACAATACAATAGTAAGTTAAGGGGTACAGAGTAGAGAGAACTTTTGGTTATCAAGAAGGGTAAATACTTGTTACACTGATTACAACAGAATTGAAGTTATGTTTTTTAAAAATTCAACTTTGTGTTGTAAAATTGATCAGTAAATAGAAAAGTATTAACTTTCAAAAATTCAATGAAGATGTCTTTAATTATAACATTTGTGGCTTATGATCAGCAGAGTTTTGAGAAAATTGAAATGATTTGTTTGCTAATTTTTTTTCTTCTCAAAACAGAAGAAAATGCAGATATGTATGTGTTAAAAAGTTTTGATGTTATCTTATTTCTCCACCCCTTCAGATTGTGTCAGCTTCTTGATTCTTGATGCTGGGGGACTCATGCCAAGAGTGTCAATGAGCTACATCCAGTTATCAAACATGGCCATAATATAGTATACAGTAGTATAATATAGTATAGTATTTAAATTGGATGAATACCTGAAAATTTTATTTTTAAATATTGATTATATTAAATACAAGTAATCAAGTACTTCAAGAACTTATTTAAGGAATCACTGTCTAGTTTTGAGAGTATGCCAGGGCATCAACAATAGTGGGAAACATGGGATAATTTGCATAACGGGCAAAGCCCGTTATGCTAAAATTATCCCATGTTTCCCACTATTGTTGATGTCCCTGGCATACTCTCAAATCTAGACAGTGATTCCTTATATTTCCATTCCATTGTTAAATAAAATTGTAGACTTATAGACATTAAAAATTTAGACTAATAGACACGAGAACTTCCATGCCAATATCAATAGTCCTCGCACACTGACGTCAAACACAAAGGCAGCTGCACGAGATTTACATGCATATTTGGCCTCCTTAGCGTCAGGCAGAGTGACAGATGCGCACGAGATTTGCATGCTTATTGGGCCTCCTTATCTGCTGACCTATCGACCTGCCTTAATTTACATTCCGGCAGAATTATCAAGAAATAAATTACGCCAACTTTCAAACAGTTATCACAGAGAAAAAAAATTAGAAATGGAAATATTAAAAGATTACTAAAGATTTATAAGCTAGAGTTGGAAAATACCCTTAGACAAAGACATCATATTTAATTGTAGATTTCATAAGCACACGTAGTGTGTGCAATGGAATCCTAATTTCATGAATAACCTGAGATAAGTTATACGATCTTAAACAACATACAATCAATCAAGTAGCATTAAGCAGCTGATCCTTACATGGCGGCTTCAAATCCCACTGCTGGATGTGGAGACAGCTCAAACAGGTTCCTCGGATGAGACTGTATAAACTGAGGTTCTGTCTCACAGTTGGCACAAAAAATAAATCCCTCCCCTCTGAAAAACCATAAGTGCTGAGCATGCTGAGTACAGGACTCACTGGTGCATATATTTGCAGGCCTCCACCAGCAAGTGATCATAGTGATGGCATCATAACATGACTGAAATTTTTTTTAAAAGGACAATATAATAAAACAAACAAACAAACCAATACTGCAGTCTTATCACAGAAATGGCCCTACATGTAAGTGTCAAGAATTAAACAAAGCTATAGCTAGGCTAAGTCACTATCTGAGACATAAATTCTCAAATGGGATGTAAATAACATAATTTATAAATTATAATCAATAAGTTTATTTTTCATTGTGACTTCATATTAATAATTTAGAATTAAAAAACAGTCAATAACAAACACACAGTGTAAAACCTTGTCTGCATGTTTTACAGTGCTCACGACTCACAAAAATACAGCTATTATGTAGTGCACGTGCACTACACGACATATTATTATAACTAAATATTAGGTATTTTTCAACTTATCCAAGTGTGATGATCAATAGAGCAGGAAGGATTTTTAATGATTCTGCAAACCACCAGACATGGCCAGTTAAATATAATTTTACGTGTCAGAGGAGTAAATATGAGTATACTAGTATTCAATATATAGCTTTTGTAGTGACTAAGTGGGTTCAAACAGGTAACGGATAGTAATTAAATAACTGTTTAGTAAACTGTATACATGGCTTGACTTTGTCTTCACAGGTGTAAAATACACTGACCAGGAACCAAATCTGAAACCCCCCCCCCCAAAAAAAAAAATGTACATATGTAAGTAACGATATGACACTAATCGCAGGGAATACCAAGTTCTCTAAGAAAAACATACACTATTTTATTCTTTAAGTTATCACTGCAGCTAATCTGCACCCTTGATGCGTTTTACAAGTTGATCTAAATGAAGTAGGTGTCTAATTCATTTTTAATTCTTTGTGAAATTAGATGTTTAGTAATTTTAAAATTATTTAAAAGCTATATAAGCTATTGAATTAAGAATTTGATAATGTCATAAGTGGGTTTACAGTCCAAGTCCTTGGTTAGAAATAAAAAAAGAAATCAATTTATTAATGTAAACATAATGACCTTGTATATTTAGATTTATGTAGATATGGGGAAAAAAGTAACCTTCTTTTATAAGGCTTAATTGTGTTTTTGTGCCATGCTGGTCCTTTTCCCACAATGCCGTTGAATGTTTACATCCGGTGCGATCAAACCAAAACATTTTTAGTAGATCGCTGTTAAAATTAAGTGATAAAAATATAAATATTTCAGACCAGCTGTTCAGACACAGCATTATAGAAAGCAGTCATATAGTATTGTATATGTATATTTAAGCCCTAAGAATGCCCATACATGTATGGTGATCCTTTTTAGCCACGTATAGACAACTTAATATGCAATAAGAATCCTTCATTCTTGGAGATATAACCTAGTTGCTATGATTGTCCACAGGCTACTTGGAAGGAAGACATCTCAACAAGAGACGACTGTACCAGAGAAATCTTTATGGCCTGCAGTTTGTAATAACAGAGAGAGAGACTACGCAGCATTGTTAAGGCTTGAATTAGGGGGCGGGGCCTAATTTATACGGGAAAAGTTTACTGTGACGTCACACAGAAATATGACTTTTATGTATTTCTCATAATACCTGAAAATGAAATAATTTGCAACTTTTAACTGTATTAGCATAATAAACAATAATAAAACTTATCAATGCATTGAAAAACGTTGCTTGGACGGTAAATCCCTTGTAGCTGGTTTAAAACAAAGCACTGATTGCGATGAACTTGTATATATGACGTCATTTTGGTAAACATGACGTATTTCATGTACTGTGAGAGGCAGATTGAGGAATTTTTTAACAATGAAAAATGCGTTTTATAATAAACGGAATACTATTTACAGGTTTTAAATAGTCGATTAATACCAATGTAGATCCTTTGTTTAGTGCGATTATTCATTAACTTTCCAGAGAATGTATTTTATTAATTATGTCGTGTTTTTATGTACAGGTTACGTATATTTTACATCGAGATGCACTATATAATGGTACTTTCGCAAGGGCATACACTGCATAGATCTTAATCATTTTTTGAATATAGATAAAGGATATTATCCTTAACTGGTAAAGTGCTGCTGCTTTCTTTAAATCGAGGGCGTGATTTCATAAGTACACAAAATATTTGTTAAAGTCTAATATTTTTTGACATTGGCCTATTTACTTGAAAATTTAACTATTAAAACGCGAATTCTATTCAAAGCAGCAGCACTTTTCAGAAACTACAAAGTATGCAGAAACAATTAAAATCTTGAATTTTTAATTTCAACTAGGGTATGCCCTTGCGATATTGAAATTTGTTATTGACCTACATTCAGTACACGTACTATGCATTCATCACGTGACTGTCCATCGATGGGACTAAACTTCATACAGTACACAGTGGGTAATACTATGCTATTTCCATAGGTATTTAAGTTCTGTGATAATAAAACAGCTTAATTGAAATAAATTCAATTTAAATAAAATCCCCCTTTTTGCACATATATTTTCCGTTGATTTCTCATAGTAGGCCTTAACAGTGCTGCATAACAAATTCTCTCCTTACATTCCTGGAAAATAGGGGGGTCCTGAGGAGGGGAGGATAATTCAAAATCTCTATCAAAATACAGTTATGGAATGTGTATGAAGGAAATAGGGAAATAGGCCTATATGCTGCAATTTTATGGTTCTATCATAAGGTCAAACTTACCTATCTGATAAATATTCGTTATTTTTAATATTTTAATTATTATTTTGCCATTTTTTATTTCGTTTGGAAAATGTTAAAAAATACACGTCCAATACCACCTCAATTCATTACTTTCAGTACTTTGAATCTAAACAATTATCTTGACCTCGTGATCTACAGGAAGCCAGGCGTTGAAAGATATGCTATGGATTCAATGCGTATCGTCCCTGTACGTTTTAATCCGGTTCTTTCTTGGTGTCGGTTACCTTTTCATTGTTTAGAAAATCTCATCTATACGTGATTCTTTTCAAAATTAGCTTTTAACAAGTTTGAATTTAAGAAATTCATGGGATAAGGTATTAAACAATTAGGCCTAATATTTTGAATTTGTTACATTTTAGATTACACCTTACAGAAACAAATTGAGAAATAAATGAAACGTTAAAATTAATTAAAACTGATTTATTTTTAAACAAAGATTATAAATAGTCGTTTTAATCAAGTTAATAAACCGATGCATTGAGTTTTATCACACAGCTTAAACCCTGGGGATATTTATAAGTACTGCAACGTTTATATATATTAAAGCCCTCTACTCTTTGTAGATCCATCAGGTGATCCTTCATTTTCTACTGCTTTCCAGTTTTTGTATGCAAACACTGGACTGGCTTTGAATTTGGTAATTTTTCAGAGAGAGAGATTGCTGAAAATTTGACTAACTTTATTGATTTATTTTCATTTAAAGACTAAAGTTTCATATTTCACGTACACAGAGTTTGGGAATTAGGTAATTAAATTTTTCATTTATTAACCAATACCATGATGAAATTCAATATATGTACATTGTACTTTAGCATTAGTTAAAAGTTTAATTTTTTTTCAATATTTACATTTTATAATAAACTGGCCATGCACTCAAAAATATTTATGCGAAATTAACTTTTTAAAACCTTTTATTTTATTAGTTTATCAAATTTTGTAGTTCGAGATATGAAAAAATTGACACGCAATTATGACTTTATCTTATCATTTTATTAACATAAAAAACAAAATGGTATGCTTATTTTATAAATATTTTATTTCATAGATTTTTTTCACAGGCCTAATGAAAATTTTTTAAAACACAAAGATGGCCAGTTTTCATACATGTATATTGGTAAGTTGAAATTCTTTGAAAATTACAACACGTGTAATTTCATAGGAACCGAGATTTTAATTTTTTTCCTGGTTGTAAGTTTCAGGCTTAACGAAATTTCAATTTAGGTATGTAAATATTTTCATTTTAAAGTTGTATTTCATGTTAAATAAATGATGGAATGTGGGAATATCTACAAAAATTCTAGTTATGGAAAAGGCCTTTAATACGCCGCGGAACGGTATTATTTTGCCATTTTTTATGTTTTTAAAAGTGTTAAAAACTTTCAAATAATACCAGTGATTTGTTTGAACAATTAGTAAATTACTTGGAGGGCAAAAGGTTTGTATAGAGTTCTATGGGAAATTAATTGGTACTCTTTTCCCAGATATGCTATGGATTCAATGCGTATCGTCCCTGTACGTTTTTAGTCCGGTTCTTTCTTGGTGTCGGTTACCTTTTCATTGTTTAGAAAATCTCATCTATACGTGATTCTTTTCAAAATTAGCTTTTAACAAGTTTGAATTTAAGAAATTCATGGGATAAGGTATTAAACAATTAATATTTTGAATTTGTTACATTTTAGATTACACCTTACAGAAACAAATTGAGAAATAAATGAAACGTTAAAATTAATTAAAACTGATTTATTTTTAAACAAAGATTATAAATAGTCGTTTTAATCAAGTTAATAAACCGATGCATTGAGTTTTATCACACAGCTTAAACCCTGGGGATATTTATAAGTACTGCAACGTTCTATATATTAAAGCATGCAAACACTGACTGGCTTTGACTAGAAAAGTAGGGGATTAGGAATTAGGCCTACCATGATTAGACATTGTACTTTAGCATTAGTTAAAAGTTTAATTTTTTTTCAAGATTTACATGGCCATGCACTGAAAAATATTTATGGAAACTTTAGTAGTTTCTGCAAAGATTAATCGGGTACGAGTTAGTCAGGAACCGAATTCGCCGGTTTCCTCGTCCTCTTTGTTGTAAGATGGAAGGCAGGAAAAGGGCACACTGCAGTGGCAGTTATTCACCGCCAGACGACAGTGACACTGAAAAGTCAAATACTACATTAGAGAGTACACCACCTACTACTACATCAACATCATCATCAAGCGAAAGTGATTCATTTCCAAGTAGCACTTCCAAATGGAGACGAACTGATGTAGACAAATTGGGAATAAAACTCGCGTATAGGGCTTGCGCGATGGATGTTGTATATGAATGGGGGCTATATACAATGTTTAGAAAGGATGTCGTTTCAGAAGAATTGAATACTGTGGAGGAAATTTTATATGTGTGTAATTCAATTGAAGCAGATTTCACATCATTTGAAGAATTACAGAGAAAGTTTATTGAAAATCCCATGATATGTAAAGAATTCGTTCCAACAGAAAAGATGCCCGATGGACTTGGAGTGTAAGTAACGATTGTCCTTAGGCCCCTATATAAGATTTTAATTATGACCCGAACAAACTATTATTCCTATATATTTACATTTGCAAATCTTTTTCTTTATATACTGACACGCAGAAAAAAAGCAACACCCTATTTTAGGGGGAAATAATCATACATGTGTATACTATAGTAAAGAATTTCTCATCTAAAAAATAATATGTTAGACGGTGTGACCGTTAGTGAGGGCGGAGCTGTGAAGAGAAAATTGCTATATTTTATTGTTTAATGATAAATCAGTTAATTTCTGAGATTGTATGGCATGCCAAATTCACAAAAATGAGCTAAACATAGTTCCACAGTTGACAAACTAGGTTTGTCGACTGTACATGTAAACTAAAGTTTACAAACTGTGAACTATAGTTAACAATTATACAAAAAAAAATAAATTAAAAATCTATATATGAAAGTGTTATTCATTATAACTATGATTAATTTAGTCATATGCAAGGTCATGGCTATTACACCCCTAATACTGAGAAATATTAAAACTTAAATCAAGAAGAATAATTTTATTCAGAGTTGAAATGTTAGAAAGCAGAACTACTTCACAAGTATCGTAATTCCATTGTGTACAGAGTTTTGCAAATCGATCACACTCGTGTTATGTACACAGGTTTTTGTAAACATGTTATTGATTGATGTTTACGATTCATCGGGTGCATTAAATCGCCAAAGTCTGTTCACCAAAACTGCATGGACTGACAATATATTGTGTGTCTGTTTTGCTTTAGAACATGTATACTATGAATTTTCTAGATTATAGTATTAATATTTCTAGGTCACCTGAGTAACTCAGGTGACCTATTGCTAGTGTTGAATAATCGGGAAAATTTCATGATCGATAATCGGTCAAAATCGGAGAAGCTTAATTGATCAATCATAGACTTAATTGGTAATGCAAATTTCAAATACAAAATTCCATTTCTTTACAGCATTTATCATTTATGGAACAAACTAAACTAAAATTCTATCAAGTTTATTCTAAAGACAACTATTTGTTGTATAAGTAACAAAGAAACAGAATTTTTTTTTTACATATTTGCTCATAAAACTGAAAATGTTTGTCATGACATCCGATTTTGCATTCCTTAGTTAGGTACAAGCCCCCACCACACTAAGAATACATCCCATATACTTGCAATGTAGCAAATCAGAGCGGACCCGCTCCGACACGATTTTGAAGAATATAAAAGGATTTGCACTGGAAATAACTTCCAAACAATCCTCTTGGAGATTGCTTATGCATTTTATCCCAAAAAATAATCCATATAAAGACAAAAATCCAATTAATGTTCTCAACGTTTTTCTCTCACTTTACTACCTGGTATGTTTACATTCGGAACTCTCTAGATTGTCCGTAGTAAATGCACTGAGTATGATTTATTGCCCATGTTTCTTTTGCTACATTACGAATACACGGAACGAATTCTATCGTGAAACTTGGTCCGTAGGAAGATATCATTTTAAAGATAGAACGTTCTGTCAATGCATTCCCTGGATATGGGTAAATATCTACTTGATTGTTGTTAACTTCGCCTTCAGATGTCATTTTTGTTGACCTCCTTTCGTTTTACATGCATTGTTAATGTGTTTGTATAAGTTTCGTTCAAATCATAAAAGTTTATTTGGGCGAGTTTATTTGGGCGACAATTGATTATGAAAAACGTAATCGTTAATCGGAATCGCACCCAAAAACGATCGACAATCGATCGTCAGCGACAATCGTTTCATCACTACCTATTGCTATCCGTTTTCATCCGTAGTCGTGTGTCGTGTATCGTGTGTTTGAACATTTGAACATTTTCAGCTTCTTCTCTGAAACCACAGAACCAATTTCAACCAAATTTGGTAAACAGTATCTATGGGTGAAGAGGAACAAAAATTATGAATTTCATGGTCCCAGCCCCCCTGGGGCCTGAGGGGTGGGGCCAAAACCACTAAAATTATTGCAATCTTTAAAAATATTCTTCTTTACCCCTGGACATCAAGCAGGCAAACTGTTGGTATGAATGTAATGAGCATTGAGTCCTCTACCAAAATTGTGAAATTTAGGCCTCAGGGTCAGGGGTTCTAGTGCTAGGATGGGGCTATATATAAATTATATAGTGAAAATGCATGATTTCTTTGAAAATCTTCTTCTCTGCTCCTGGGTATTAAATAAACGAACTAGTACATAGTTATGATGAGCAAGAGTGACTCTTCCAAAAATTGTGAATTTTATGGCCCCAGGGTCAGGGATTCTGGTGTTATGGCAGGGCTCTATTGATTATATAGTGAAATTACATGAATTTTATGAAAATCTTCTTCTCTGCTCCTGGGTATTAAATAAACTAACTAAGTGCATAGTTATGATGAGCAAGAATACCTCTTCCAAAATTTTGATTTTATGGCCCTAGGGTCAAGGGTTCTATTGATAGGGTGGGGCTCTATTGATTATAGTGAAAATACATTAAGGCCACACCAGTTTGTAAAATAGTTCTTCGAATTTTCAAAAATTAAAATTGAGGTGAGCTAGCAAAATTTTTTTGCAAATATTTTTTTATTTTGGGTTTCAAAATTATGAAGTGAGCGAATATAATTATTACATATATATATATTTTAATAAAGTGTGATTTCAAAGAGCGTGGACCTAAAAAATAAAGATATATATCATTTGCATACCACATGAACTTATTATTCTTAACTTTTTGGGGATTTTTTTTTTATAAGTAAAATGTGTCAAACTTCAAAGACTTTATTTTCATAAATGTAATGTTTTCAAACATCTCCTGTGCTTCCATTTCTATTGCTGTGTATGAAACAACTTTGTACACATTGTTTTTAACTTTAGTACACAGGGTTGTTCAATTAAAAAAAATCAAGTACTAGCCCACAGGCTAGTGGCAGCTGCAAAGTTACTAGCCAGAATATAGGGGCAAAAATTAAAATAAAACTAATGTTGAAAAAGAAATTAATTGCTGATAAAAGGATACTGAAGTCATTCTTTTTAAAATCAAAGTTTAATTCTCAATTTCAAATTCAGTCATGTTTAAGGGGGCTCTCTACACCTATAAAGTATAACTGATTTTTGTTGCATGAATTTGTTTCTAATAATAGGCCCCATATCCAATAAAAAAAGGTTTCAAAGTATTTCAATTTATTATTTAGAAATATTTGAAATATTTTTTTTATTTTGTTAAAATCCCTCCTATCAATTTATTATTTAGAAATATTTGAAATATTTTTTTTATTTTGTTAAAATCCCTCCTATCAATTTTTTTAAATGCCCATTGCTTTAAATTTCTCTTCAAAGTTTAGTGTTATAAAATATTGAAATAATAACCAACAAAGTTAAAAATAAAATCAACATAATTTTTATTTAAAGGATGTATTCGCTTTAACAAAAGAATTTACCTATAGGAGAGAACAATTTCCCGGAAAAAACGACATTTAAATATCAATCTTTATTTGTTGTTTTCTACCGTATATATGTCTAAATTTTTCAAATTTGTATTTGATACCTCAAATTTCTTATTTACAACTTTACAATAAACCTCCAAAGTTGACCGAAACACCATTTTATCCATAAAAGCATTGATTTTTGCATGAATTTTGGCCTTGAAGTCCTTCAGGGCAGGCCTGCCCCTAAATAAAATTGTGATATTTTGATAGGTTAGGATGTAAGGAACAATTTAAGATAAGATTTTTTTAGGGGCACCCCTGCCCTGGGGTCGAAATTCACAAAAAACCTACAAGAAATAAGGAAACCTGATTTTCATCACCTGCTTGAAATTTATGCCAATTATTCTTATAGTCAGACTAGCTCAGTTGATAGAAGTGCTGACTTTTGCACCTTGGATACTTTCTTTTTAAAGTCGGGGGTTCGAATCCACCTGGTACAACACTTTTAAACTTTTAAATTTCGCCTTTTCAAAGACTATTTAGATTTTTTAGCTCACCTGAGCCGAAGGCTCAAGTGAGCTTTTCTGATCACATTTTGTCCGTCGTCCGTCCGTCCGACTGTCTGTTATTCTGTCCGTCTGTCTGTCCGTCTGTAAACTTTTCACATTTTCGACTTCTTCTCAAGAACCACTGGGCCAATTTTGACCAAACTTTGTACAAAGCATCCTTGGGTGAAGGGGAATTTAAATTGTTAAAATGAAGGGACATATCCCCTCGCAAGGGGAGATAATCAAGAAAAGACAAAAATAGGGTGGGGTCATTAAAAAATCTTCTTCTCAAGAACCACTGGGCCAGAAAAGCTGAAACTTATATGGAAGCATCCTGGTATAGTGTAAATTCTAAATTGTTCAAATCATGACCCTCGGGGGAAGGGCGGGGCCACAATGGGGAATCAAAGTTTTACATAGAAATATATAGGAAAAATCTTTGAAAATCTTCTTCTCAAGAACCACTGGGCCAGAAAAGCTGAAACTTATATGGAAGCATCCTGGTATTGTGTAAATTCTAAATTGTTCAAATCATGACCCCCGGGAGAAGGGCGGGGCCACAATGGGGAATCAAAGTTTTAGATAGAAATATATAGGAAAAATCTTTGAAAATCTTCTTCTCAAGAACCACTGGGCCAGAAAAGCTGAAACTTATGTTGAAGCATCCTGGTATAATGTAGATTCTAAATTGTTCAAATAATGACCCCCGGGGGAAGGGTGGGGCCACAAAGGAGAATCAAAGTTTTATATAAAAATACATAGGAAAAATCTTTGAAAATCTTCTTCTCAAGAACCACTGGGCCAGAAAAGCTGAAACTTATGTTGAAGCATCCTGGTATAATGTAGATTCTAAATTGTTCAAATAATGACCCCCGGGGGAAAGGTGGGGCCACAATGGGGAATCAAAGTTTTATATAGAAATATATAGGAAAAATCTTTGAAAATCTTCTTCTCAAAAACCACTGGGCCAGAAAAGCTGAAACTTATGTTGAAGCATCCTGGTATGATGTTGATTCTAAATTGTTCAAATAATGACCCCCGGGGGAAGGGTGGGGCCACAATGGGGAATCAAAGTTTTATATAGAAATATATAGGAAAAATCTTTGAAAATCTTCTTCTCAAAAACCACTGGGCCAGAAAAGCTGAAACTTATGTTGAAGCATCCTGGTATGATGTTGATTCTAAATTGTTCAAATAATGACCCCCGGGGGAAGGGTGGGGCCACAATGGGGAATCAAAGTTTTATATAGAAATATATAGGAAAAATCTTTGAAAATCTTCTTCTCAAGAACCACTGGGCCAGAAAAGCTGAAACTTATGTGGAAGCATCCTGGTATAATGTAGATTCTAAATTGTTCACATCATGACCCCTGGGGGAAGGGCGGGGCCACAATGGGGAATCAAAGTTTTATTTAGAAATATATAGGAAAAATCTTTGAAAATCTTCTTCTCAAGAACCACTGGGCCAGAAAAAGTGAAGCTTATGTGGAAGCATTCTGGGGTAGTGTAAATTCTAAATTGTATGAAATCATGACCCCCGTGGAAGGGAGGGGCCACAATGGGGAATCAAAGTTTTACATAGAAATATATAGGAAAAATCTTTGAAAATCTTCTTCTCAGGAACCACTTGGCCAAAAAAGCTGAAACATATGTGCCCATGGAAGGATCATGGGGTAGTGTAGATTTCAAAATGTCTAAATTATGATCAGTGGGGTAGGGTGGGGATGCATTATGTATAACAAGGGGGAAATCTGGTAAAGAACAGAATGGTCAAAGCTTCTCAGGTGAGCGATGTGGCCCATGGGCCTCTTGTTTTATATAGATTTGTGTATTTTTCCTTCAATTATCTATCCTTTATGCATGCCCATACTTGATATATAAGAAACACTAAAGAGATATCAAATTGTAACAATCCAATGTACAGTTCTCAGTCAGGCGGAACGAACCTCAGTATAAGCACACTTTCTTTGAGGACAAGAATAACTCTCTATATGTTACTCAATACAGGTATCCTTGGCAGCATTGAGCTGCGATGAATTTCAATTTTATATATTCCTTATAATTAACTCACATTGATTTTGGCTACATATTTCAGTAAATGCACTCCATTGGATTTCATTTAGGCCTATATAATTTGCACACATTAATGGCATGTTTTATCATACCCGCGGATAAATGGCCTAGACATGAAGAACAGAATTTCAGAGACAGTAGGCACTACCTTTATGAACTATGAGAAGTAAAGACAAATATCAGTCAGTACATATGGAGATTACAAACTCAGAAAATCAATGAAAGGGTTCCTCCTACCTCTACTAACTGAAATAAAAATTTAGGAAAAACAAATTATTATATGTATTTAGCCTAATGTCATTAATCGGAACGGAAATCGACAAGCTTTTTGTCATACATGTTAACTCTCCCGATTTAGGCGGGAGTCTACCGCTTTTTCACTTCATCTACCGCCTACCGATTTAATTCAGAAATCTACCGCTTTTCTACAAAAGCTGCGTCTAAAGTATTTTTGGTTCGCTTGGGTATCCATTTTTGAAGCCACTCTCATAAAATCTCACTAGATATCGCGTGATTTGACTCAGAATCATACAAACGCTTTTTTGTACATAGATTTCAAGCACGGATTTGACAACGACAACAACATAAGACTACCAGTGATTACAATGGTTACGATAAATTAATCAACATCCCTGCCATGAAAAAGGAGATACAGCTTTTGAGAATTAGATGAAAACATTTGACATCGTCTTTAAAAGCACAGAAGCACACAACTTTATCAATAAAGTCAATAGAAATCACGCGATTAACCAAGCCATGTGGCACATCTCTACTTTCGTTTTCGATCATCGCGGGAAATCTGATTTATATAACGAAAGAAACGAACTTGTTTTAAATCTAGATTAAACCAGCCATCATTTGTTTTGTTTAAAAACTGAATGAACATTCATAATTATTGCTTCTAGGCTATTTCAGCAAAGATCACTCTTCAAAAGGCTAAGTAAAGCAGCCGATCCAAGCAAAATGATGAGCATGAAAAATATTTGAATTTGTACAATTTATGTCAAACTTAAGGTGTTTCTGTCTTCTTATTGCTGTTGATATTTAAGTAATAGTTATTGAATATTTATTTTGGTGTATCCTGAGTTATTTGGGCGAAGGGCGGAGACTCGTGCGAACAAGATTAATTAGTGTAGGTACCTGATTTCATTTAAAGCTTATGATATACATGTATATTACATGAAAGATATCTATAATCCAAGCGTTAAACAACACGCGAGTAATGCTACCGCTTTTGAGGTCTGAATCTCCCTCTTTTTCATGTTTTTCATCACAATAGGTTAACATGTATGTTTTTGTAGAGAAAAAAACCAAGCCCGGTCCTATAGGTCAGATCCCTATTTATAATGAAGTGATCCTTTACAAAAATAGACAAAAGAAAAACTAAAATAGCATTTTATTGAGAACAGCTGGTTGGATCCTCTTCAACATCTGAAAAGATATATAATATCAAAGGGTAAAAACAATGAAAAAAAAGAAATTGAAAAAAATTGAAAAACTGTCAAAAATTTATAAACATCACAAAAATTCAGGTGTGAGAGATCCGCTTTAAGAGTGGACTCAAATATCTTGGTACTGTTTTTTTTTTTTAATAAATTCAAATAAACTCTACTTGCACAAGTATTAAACAAATGTCACGCAAGGACATTGAAAGAAGTTCTTATTGTACATGTATTGATTTTTAATTAGTTTAAGCGAAAATCATCGCGTTTCCAGTCAATGACAAAGACATGTATTTAGTGAACTCATGGTATTGAAAAAGTTAGATTTACTTACCGTTTTTATCCAACTTGCATGTGTTAACCAGTGCTATATAAAACAAAACAAGTTAAGATGGTAAATGACCAAAAGCGGTAAAAGAAATTCCTGGAATCAAATGCACAATTCGTCTAAAACCTGCATGTTTCCCATACTTGTAAACAGCTGACAATCAATGTTGATCAAACGTTTGGGTCATTCGAAATTTCACCGGGTATAACCATTCATTCGGATGTATACAGAGAATCCTCTAGTCGATAGGAAGATAATACATATGTCTTACTGATCAAATTTGCATTTTGGGGGGATATATTTTGCTGGAAAGCATATATGCTTATTGAAGAAAGAAATTTCTGGGTGTATGGCGTTTTGACACGTAATGATGAATTAGCATATGGACAAACCATGTTTTATCATTTTATCATTTTTTTCTCACCAAAAAATTTTATTCTAATAAGTTTGTAAATGTATTATTTAATAATTAAATAAGTAGAAATTGAATAAATTGACAAACAATTCATTTTTAAAGAAAGGATAAGTATTGGGCAATACACTACATATTAATTGATGTGATATAAAGAACATGCCATCCACAATATCGCATGTTGTGTTATACTCAGTAATTTATCGGTGTTAAGTGAATTTGTATCTGATCATTTGGGATCAAAATGGCGTTTTTACGGAAGTACGCCATGTTGTGACGTTGTAGAGGGCCCCCTTAAATTATTATGAAATAAAATTAAAATGAACTTCAATAAATTATCTTGCCTTTTTCTGATCATTGCACTCTTAGAATGAAATTAAATTTTGTTTTTGTCTTAAATCATTCAATAAATAAGAAATATATTTTATGTGAGTCACAAAACACTTATCTTTCAGTTGATTGAGTGATCGTAAGTAATTTAAAGATATAGCTGCATATATTTATCATAATCGGAGGAATATAGGAAATTCGGATTAGGAAAAAAACGATCATTTTTGGAAGTAAATAAGTCAGGTACTGACAGGTAGTTCTGCAAAACGGATAAGATTATGGAGATTTATTGAAGACTGATAATAGCGTCATCCACAGCATAGTCGGTGAAGGTTATTTATTTATGGCAACAAGTCGCACCAGAGTTGACACATGCAAAGATTTTTTTTGTAAACCATTTTGTAAATGTATTATCTACAGAAGTAAGTTTTAATATCATAATAAATAACAAAAGAGAAAAAGTTATAAAGCTCTTTATTGACTGTCCGAAATAACACCCCTGTCCGAAATAGCAACACTTTCCCCCACCTACAGATTAATGACTATTTCTTGTTGTCCCAGGGAATAATGCCTTGTATATATGTTGAAATATTTGGTCTTTACCTTCTCAAAACATTTATCTGCAAAAATCGAGGGAATGGGGTAAAATAAGTGCGTCCAAGCGGGCTGATGCAGTATAAAGTTCATTTTTTATTAGCGAGATAAAATTTTATCTTGCTAATAGAAAGTCAATGACTATCTCGCGAAAATAAGGTGTCGAGAAAATTAAGTGATTTACAGTAACCAGGCTTCAAGAGCAACATACCAGAATATTAGTCCCGAGGTGATGGGAAAGCTCTGGCTTGTGATGTTTGCCGAAGGCAGACAGCGACATAATACAGCTGCAGAGTTTCTGAAAACCAATGGTCCTACCGGGAAAACCAAGAGAAAATTTCAATTTGCTACAGTATCAGTCCCTAAAACCAACTATTTTTCACGGTGACCTACTTTTGAATATCTCAGGTACTTATTGGCTTAGAATCATCAAACTACCCCTGCGAGACGATCATGAATAATTCATGAATTTCCTTGAATTTTTCATGAATTTTATTCATGAAATGTTCATGAAATGTTCATGAAGATCCTATGAACTTATTATTGGACATTTTCAAATCATGAATTTTTATTCATGAAAGAAAATTGATGAATATTCATGAATATTTTTTTTCATGAATAATTCATGAAGAGTCATATTCATGAAGATTCATCATTTCAAGAATGTCCAATAATAAGTTCATTGCATCTTCATGAACTATTCATGAATAATTTGATGAATTTTTTCAGGAATGTTCATGAATGAATAAAATTCATGAACCATAAGCATTCATAAATATTCTTGCTTATTTGTAAACAAAAAATGCAATATTATTATTCATGTTTATTCATGAAAATGCATGAAGTCATGCTAAAAAAATAACAGTAGATGATTTATAATACAGCATCTTGAAAGATTTCACAGAAATGTTGTTTGTTTTCCAACCATGGCAACAAAATCTTTGTTAAAAAACTTAAAATAGACAATTCTGACTCACTAAACCATAGTAAATGAGTAATGTAGTTCATTCCTGGTATAAAAAGTATAAAAAAAATTCAATTCAAATGCAACTCTTTGCAGAAAGTTTAACCTTACTTGGTCAAAAGGAGAGGGGATCCTTCCTCAGCATGTTTCAAATTGTGTTTTAATGCCAGAAATTGAACAGTTTTTAATTCCAGTCTAAGAGAAAAGTTTGTTCAGCACCAGGGTAACAGTTTTCAGTGCTTTCAAGCAGTTTGAGCAGAGATGGTCAATTCAAAAATCCTTATTGTCTCTCCATGTGGAATATCCAGAATTTCATCATTTAGATCGTTTGATTGAATGTCATTCATATTTTCATTTCCTTTTTTTCTTTCTTTTTCAAGAGATCAGATTTTTGTGCAGCCAGAGTTTCTTGTCTTCTGCTCATCAACATTTGTGAACTGCTTCTCACTTTCCTTCAAAAAGAAAGATTTTCTGAAAGTACCCATGATTGTAAAACATGACTTTTTTGTATTTTCTTGCATTTTAGTTTCATTTAATTTTGCATCAGAGACACTTCCAAATTAAAACATTCTGAGTGGAATTTAAGCCTATTTTCTTGGACCGCCATTTTGCAGATCAATCAGGCTTATGAATGTTTTGAGTCTCAGTCTATAATTAATGTATGTCATATGGTTGGATCCAAACTCAAAGCAAAGTTAGACAAAAATTGCATTAAAAAAAGAGACATATTAATTTATCATATTGTGCTTTAATTAGTTGTTATTTTACAAATAGACAGTAACATTTACAGACAGATTTCTGACTCAATGATTGCCTCCATTTTTTGTCACTCACCAGTTATGAAGTAGATCGATCCTATATATATAGTCGTCCTTCTTCATATTCTGTTATTTTCTTAAAAAGTTGACAAAGATCAGTGACTGTACTGTTTATTGGACACATCTTGTGAGAGGGTGAAAAACTACAGATTACAAAAGCATAATAAGAATTTGACAAAATATCAAAATCATAAGCAATCATACAAAATTAAATGCGTAACTTTAACATGTGAGCTGAACTGGCCTATGCCTATCGCATGCTGGAAATGCGCGGTTTTACAAAACATTGTAGTTGCAGAATTTAAACATGATAAAACATATTGCATAATACTGTTAGATACAGATGATCAAGTTAGATATAAATTCAAGTAAAACAATATAAAACTTACTCCTTAGGGAGGCCAACATCACCAAACTTAACAGCCAAAACGCCAGGCAAACCGCATGGCTACCATAATTAGTATAAACAGAATATTGAACCCGATCGAAATAAAATTATGCAATACGAAAACGGCACAGTAACTATGCAAATAATAGATCACAAATACTGATTCTTCCACTCTACAAATTCCCACTTCCAACGTCTCGCGCGTTTTCAAGTTTGCGCCTATTCAAAAATGTACGGTAGAGCTAAGAAATACGTTAGCTTCGAATTTCCAAGATTTCTGTTTAAAATAAAATTACAAACACTATCTGAATAATTTTTCACTGAAAATACAATTTTTTATATCAAAAAAAGTTTTATCAATGAAGAATTCGAATTTTTTACGTCATAAATTATACATGTATTGACTTTTAGTTTCGTATAGCAAGTATGGCGGCCCCCTATGACATGATAATAACAATCTCTCGCCCTCAGACAGAATATTCTGAGCTGTGAAGACTCATAGGAGAATTAAAACTACAAAATACGAATGTGGATTATGTCATAGATACTTTACAACCTTGCAGTCTGTGCTCTATCATTTACGCACGAAGCAAGGGAAACTTTTGACATTTTAAGTGCACCAAAATTGAAATGTATATAGCGTTTCGATCCAGGAATAATACGGTACAGTACAGACAAGTGATATAATTCTTTAGTTGTTAATATATATAAAACGTTTTTTACGAAGCTCACAAAGTTCATTTTCCAGAATGTTTCATTTTCCAACAACTTGTTTAAAGTTTGATGTTAGAGAAAATTCGGTCGAACAAAGTTGTGTGATGAAAAACGACATTAATTAAAGCACATTATGATGAATATAACTGTTTAATTTAAATTATGAAGAAACACAAGTAATGAATTTGAAAAAAAAAAATGCTGTCAATGGTGATGCACTGTTTGTTTAATTAAAATCAAATAAAAACACGAAATGTTTAGAGATTTCATGATTTATTTTTTTCAGATGGTGAAAGAATGTTATTAACTATAAATTATACCAGGGGCTTGTTCAACAATTGCATCTGCATGCAAAAGTTGTATTATAAGAGTATTGAGTGTTTTCTGTCAATCATTTTTGTCAATTATTTTAGTCTTCATGAAAATTCATGAACATTCACGATACCCTGAACTCTACATTTTTTCTGTCTTTAAAATGAAAATTACCAATATTCATATAAATTCATCATTTGTTCATGAACTACATTTTATGAATATATTCATGAATAAAGTTCATGAACCATCTTTATGAACCAGTCATGAACCAGTCATGAACACATCATGAATGTTCATGAACGATTCATAAAAGTTCCTGAAATCATGAATTTCACCTCGCAGGGGTTTGTCAGTAGATGCATCTTAGGTTTTCAGAGCATTTCGACCAAAAAGTAGGTCACGGTGACCTACTTTTGAATATCTCAGGTACTGATTGGCTTAGAATCATCAAACTTTGTCAGCATCAGGTCTTCGGAAAATGTCGACCCAAATGTAGGTCACAGTGATCTACTTTTGACATTTTATGGCTATATTCTGCGTTTCTCTGGTATTGAATATCTCAATTGACTTGGAATCATTCTTTGTCAATTAATGAATCTTAAGGTCTCAGATAATTTCAATCAAAAAAGTAGGTCACCATGACCTATTGTATTTTATAGTTATATTGTATAGATCTTCAGTCTTAACTGGTTAAGAATTATCAAACTTTGTCAGTTGATGCATTTTGGGTCTTATGATACTTAGAGTTGGAGGCTTCAAAGAAGTGACTGATTGTACAATTTATCAGAACAGCAATTCAAGGCCCTTGGGCCTGTTGTTTTTTTTACTGGATAAATAACATTGACACCAAAAATTTCATTAACAAATTCTTGCCCATATAAGTGCAATTGTTTAATATTTTTGTTTGACAATAACAGATGTTCATGCCGCTTTGAGGAGTTTCAACGAAAATTGGAACTTGTTTTAAGAGAGGGAATTAGAGTGAATGCTTCTGTCTCAGAATCCAACTTTCAAACTTTATTTGAGGACTTTCTTAAAATCTGTGGCATAATCACCAGGTAAATATGCATTATTTACTATACTCATTCACTAAGGGTTAGACGACACATTCCTCATATATATATTTTTTGCATCTCGTGATATTATATATTTGTCATTTTCTTCTGATTTCTACATTGTTTTTAAAAATGTTTCTAATTGTACTTTGAGTATATGTAGAATTTTGTTATAGGCCATTTGGAATATTAACTTTAAGGACTATATAAGAAATATGACTATGGCATCTTGGCCAAATGCCTGGTAAGGTACCCTACTTTTTTGTGAGGAAACTTTTTTAAGTACCTATACTTCAATGACAAAGAACTTTATTTGGTAATAACCAATATTTGCCCCCCAAAATCTAACTTTGACGGAGAAATCTTTAATTGTTCTTAAACAGGGGAATATATGCTGACTTCAAAACACTGAATATTTTCATTAGCAATGACAACATATATTTGAAATGATGTCATGAAAATGACGTAAATTTAAAATTTTCATGATTTGTACAGAAAAAAAGTATATATTACATCAATATTTTGAGTAAAAATCACTGAGTGCAGATTTGATCAGGCTTAATATTTTGATATTATGTGTAGAATGATAATACATGTATCAATGAAATATGTAAATATTGTTACTGAGCAAACTTGCGCTCTATAAATTTTAAAGGTAAAATTGTTGAAATTTTGTCCATTTTGTCCTCTTTCTAAAAAATGACAAAAAAAATCGAACTAGTTTGTGACGTCATAAAAACAAAAGTTGTCAATAAACTACTTTGAAACTATAATATGATCTGTTAATTTATATTTTCTCATACAATTTATAAAATTCAGCACATATCAAGAATTTTTCAAAATTTGACTTTTGTGGGGGCAAAGATATGCAATATACTGCATATAGTTCTTTTTAGAAAAAATTATATATATATATTTTTAGGTCGTCGACCGACCTTAAGGTAGTCGGATCCTCAGGTTTATAAAATTATCAGTTAAAGTGGCACAGTGAGTCAAAATCATACCTTAATTTTAAGATATCTGTAGCATACAGAGAAAGACTTATGAAAATTATTAGTATATAGCGAAGATATGACAATTAAACTGCAAGAATTGACTGCACAATATAGTGCCGGAAAAACAAAGGTTGTATCTACCGTTTCGTTGTTTCGTATATGTCAAGATCACGCTACTCTTATTTTTAGCTCAAACTTGTAAACAAAATTCAACTGGAGCATGCAAAGGTGAGAAATATGTTCTAACAACTTTTTAAAAAGATTACATCAAATTTTTTGGTCTACTTATATTCATTTTTGGATACCTGAGACCATGGTAACTATGGAAACTTATTCAACACTTTTCTGCGCACGCGTATAATAGGGAGGAAGAAGTACCAGGGTATTTTGCAATATTTTCGTTCTTGGGCAGACAGAAATTACATTTGTCAATTTTCCCCTTTGTGCGTCACTGTGCCACTTTAAGTAATCAAAACTACTCATAAAAGTACATGTAGTTCTGAATCCACAAAATTATGTAAATTTATCCACAGTATATTTTTAGAGTTAAAAATTATTTATAATTAATCATGTTAATATACAGGGAAAATTATCAAATCTCCAATTTTTTTGCAGAAAAGGCATATTGGAATAAAAGCAATGCATTTTCTAATTGCAAATTCATGAATTTAAGACTTTTTATTTGAAATCAAGAAAAAGGGACTGATTCCTGAAATAAGGGGCTCAGAGGGACCAAAAGTCTTTCATATATAACTCTTTAATGATCAATATTTTGTAATATATTACTCGGCTCTAGTTCTTTTACTGTTTAGTTGATTATTCTGGACGTACACTTCACTGATACATTTAACTTATAAGTGATTACCATAATTTTTATGCCCCTCTTCAAAGAAGGGAGGGCATATTGCTTTGCTGCTGTCTGTCGGTTGGTCTGTTGGTCCACTTAGTTTCCGTTAATTTTCTTTGCAACCGTTGCAGATACTGAAATGAAATTTGGTATACAGATATATCACATGAATACCTAGGTCAAGTTCTGTTATCGCAGCACAGTTAAGGTTACAAATGGAAATATCGGCGATTTTTTAAGATAAAAAATACATACTTTATTAGGATGGACAAATCTTTTTAGGAATTCACTGATATTAAAAAAAATGTAATGTGGTTTAAATATACATGTTGGGGACATTTAGATTTTTTATTTAGACTTGTCATGTGATGTTGACGTCACATGACTTTGGCAATTATACTTGCAGTTTAGAGGTCATCTTTAAATTTCAATATTGCAAGGGCATAACCAAGCTAAAAATCTTAGTTTATTTTATAATCCTTTTCAACACTATATGTAGTTTGTGAAAAGTGCTGCGAACCCTATATCATGTATATGGATTCCCTTTTTTAATTGGTAAAATTTCATTTGTTGGACGGCAGGTTGAATATTTTGCTGGTCAACTACATTAAATATAGCTATAATTAATTTATTTGCAAGATTTCAAGAGGTTCGCAGCACTTTTTAAATATCTTAATGCTTCTTGAGTTTATGTGTAAAATTTAAACAAGATACATTGGGGGTATGCCCTTGCAATAAATCGATTTATAAGGGTCCTTCCATTACTTTTTCAATGAATCTGCATACAAAAAACACACGACAGTATCGCTTGTCTGATAAATGCACATACAGTTTATGAATAAAATACTATAATACTATAATAAACATCGCATCCAAGTTAATGGTTTTTTATTTTACTGCAAATAATATTTTATTTGAGAACAAAAGACATTTTTCATTGTACAAAATGTGACTTGATCAGCCTCTGACTGTGTAAAAACTGCGTCATTTTTGCGAGATGACGTCACATTGACAAGTGCATTACGATCGATGCATCGTTTATATACTGTTGTGTGGGATTTAACAAACGACAAAACTGCATGTAATAGTAAGTTTGTATGTAGTATACAGCTATCCAGCTGTTTGAAATAGCAAATAATTTCATTTTGTGGTATTTTGAAGACCTTATATTATGCGTGATGTCATAGTAAACATTTCCCGTACAAATTAGGCCCCGCCTCCTTACTGTAATCTTAACTGTGCTGCGTGGGTACGATCGCACCATTTTTGAGAGAGCTATGCCCCTTGGACTTAGAAAAAAATTCCAATTATTTGCTGTTTCCTTTCATTTTCTTTGCATAGGTTGCACATACTAAAATGAAATATGGTATACAGATTTATCAGATGACTATCTTGGTCAAGTTCTGATTTGGGTACATGTACAATCACGCCATTTTTAACAGAGCTAAGCCCTTTTGAACTTGGAAAAATTCCAATTTTGGGGGAGGGGGGTATAAGTGTTTTACAAACATCTCTTGTTCATATTTACTTTGCTCTTCCACTTATTTTTAGGCACCAACCTGATATTGCTATCAAGAAGATGAAGGTCAAGGGTGAAATTGTTTCTTCAGCACCAGATATAATATGCTATGGTTTGGAAGGGAAAGTCTTATGTGTTGTAGAGGTAAAAACATATTATCTTGTGACTATTTCTGTCTTAAAGATTCAAGTGCTCTGTATATTAATTGCTTTCCGTTTCCATTCCTTACAATCTGTTTAGTGCCATCCAGTGCCTTTGTGTTTTTTCTAACACTTGAAGATACAATATTATATGAATAATATAGTCTAGTATACAAGTATGGGGTAACTGAATAAAGTAATTGTAATTGGACGTAATTAATTACATTTTCAAAGTAATTGGAAGTCATTTGTATTTGAGCTTGCTTTCAATTACAAGTAATTGAATGTATTTAAATACATTTCAAAAAAGGTCATGTATTTTCAAATTACTTTTCAATTACATTTCAATTACTTTTTTCAAAATGAAAGTTTATAAAAAATGTGTTGTTTACTGATATGTAATTTTTATTCTGGTAAGTTTATACTTAGTACCTATTCCCGCTTTTAAAAATCTCAATTCTACCTATTCCCAATCGCAAATAACAATGATTGTTTAGATAGTTAATATGTTTTTACAGTAATTAGATTAACTACATCCCTTTTTAGATTTACCTAGTATATTCTATTCATTTTAAGATAGAAAATTATGGATTTGTGAAAAATATTTATTTCTTTCAAAAATATGGATTTGAGAAAGTAACAAAAAAGATCTTGCCATAACCATACTGGTGTAGCATGGGCTTGTGTTTGTACAATAATTAAATGTCTCATAATGTATTCAGTTACCACACAAATACTATGAAAACACATCAGGATTAGTTTTCCACAATGAATTGTGTAAACTGACTATTGCAATAAAGACAGGCTGAAATCTTTTTTGAAGGAGTGTAAGAAACATGTATTAATAAAGTGATGAATATAGTTATATTTTTAACAATTTCAATTATAATTATTCCTTTAAGGGTTAGGGAACCTGGTAAATAGAAAGCTGGTCACTATTAGTCAAAAGTTTATATTTTTTAGCTCACCTGAGCCGAAGGCTCAAGTGAGCTTTTCTGATCAAAATTTGTCCGTCCTCTGTGGTTGTTGTTGTCGTTGTCGTAAACTTTTTACATTTTCATCTTCTTCTCAAGAACCACTGGGCCAATTTCAACCAAACTTGGCACAAAGTATCCTTGGGTAAAGGGAATTCAAGTTCAAATGAGGGGCCACACCCTCTTCCAAGGGGAGATAATTATGAATTAGTGAAAAATTAATAACATTTTTAAAAAATCTTCTTCTCATGAACCACTGGGCCAGGAAAGATGAAACTTATGTGGAATCATCCTCAGGTAGTGTAGGTTCAAGTTTGTTCAAATCATGACCCCTGGGGCTAGGGTGGGGCCAAAATGGCCGACCAAAATTTTACATAGGAATATATAGGAAAAATCTTCTTCTCAAGAACTGTTGAGAACGGAAAGATTAAACTCATTTGGAATCATCCTCAGTTAGTGTAGATTCAAATTTGTTCAAATCATGACCCCTGGGGCTAGGGTGGGGCCAAAATGGCCGACCAAAGTTTTACATAGGAATATATAGGAACTATCTTTAAAAATCTTCTTCTCAAGAACCACTATGCCAGGAAAGATGAAACACTTGTGGAATTATCCTTAGGTAGTGTAGATTCAAGTTTGTTCAAATCATGATAACTGGGGCTAGGGCGGGGCCAAAATTGCCGACGAAAGTTTTACATAGGAATATACCGGTCACGGTAGCCTGGTGGTAGAGCGTTCGCTTCGTGATCGGGAGGCCCGGGTTCGATTCTCGATCGCGGCGCCGCGTCAAACCTAAGACGTAAACATAGGTAGTGACTGTTCCTTCGCCAAGCGCTCGGCACTAGAAGTGAAAGTCACGGGTCTTTCGGATATGACCTTAAAAACGTAGGTCCCGTGTCACGGTAGGCGTTGGCACGATAAAGAACCCTCACTGCTCAATGGCCCTGAGTGCCGAGTATAGGTCTAAATTTGAAGCCCTTCACCGGCATCGGTGACGTCTCCACATGAGTGAAAAATTCTCAAGAGGGACGTTAAACAATATACAATCAATCAATTTACATAGGAATATATAGGAACTATCTTTAAAAATCTTCTTCTCAAGAACCACTATGCCAGGAAAGATGAAACTCTTGTGGAATCATCCTCAGGTAGTGTAGATTCAAGTTTGTTCAGATCATGACCCCCGGGGCTAGGGTGGGGCCGAAATGGCCAACCAAAGTTTTACATTGGGATATATAGGGAAACCTTTTAAAATCTTCTTTCAAGTACTTCAAAGCCATGATTTGTGATATTTTTCTATTTATATGGAATTATCCTCAGGTAGTGTAAATTCTACTTTGTTCAAATCATGACACCCAGAGGGGTTAAAATTCACCACCTCCCCCTTCCCCCAGTAAACTTTCAGTTTTGATCTGATATGTGCTTTTTCCTAGTTGATGTGCTCAGGTGAGCGATGTGGCACTTGGGCCTCTTGTGTTTGGCTTACGATTTTCTGTGTCCAAAAAATGTATTGGATTGATTGAAAAACAAAAACTATAGATTTTGGAGTCGTAAACCAAAAAAAAAACACTTTGGCCTAAGATTTATTTACATTTTGAATGAAGCTAGAAAGCAGGCAACACATGCATTCTTGGAACATTCTAGTTAGAATGCAGAATACTGACCAAGACATATCAGTGCTAGGTATATAAGGTAATGGCACATCATTTTTTGTATGTGCCCTAGCTATGTTAAGACAAGTTGTATCATATGATGTATTATCTGTCATGAATTAAAATACAGTAGAATCCCGTTATTACGATGTTCACTTTGTCACGGTAAAATATCGTAATACCGAGGGCAACGTAATAAAAGTTCCCAATAAAATCCAGTAAAACATCGTTTGGAAAACGTGTTATTGTAGGGGGGGGGGGTATTTTTCTCCTTCTATCTCTTTTTTATGCTCAAATTCTTAAACAATATGCGATATACACTTAATTCATTGATTACTTATCTTTAAAACTTATTTTCATGATGCTATTTCTTCTTTTTCCATCATAGTAAAAGCATAGAGCACATTTTTAATAGAAACTTCGACAATCTTCTTTTAATTGCCACCATTTTCTGTAACATGTACTTTCACTTTCGTTTCTGTCCAGATAATGCGTTCATGAAAATTTCAATGTCTTCGTAGTCATAGTCATTTCTTTATAAACAACAACCAAAATTCTGATTATTTTTTTATCTTTGTATTCAATCAAAAGTCATTTCTAAACAAACAGCAACAATTTTTTTAATTCAAATAAAAAAATCAAAGTAAATAGACAAGCAATCTGTCAAAATAATTTTTTTTTAAATTACTGAACAGAGGTCAATAAGCAGTTCAGCAATTATATCGATTTGTTTTTCTGCTGACAACTGAGAGGTAGCCCAAGCCACTACCCAATCTCTTAAAATGTTTGTAGTAGAGTTCAAATTTTGTCCTTTATTATGTTTGACACCCAACCTGTTAATTCACGCAGTTTATTTGCAAACGAAATTACACATTATGTGTACCTGTGTGCAGCATAATATTAAATATAACCATGCATTTATTTATTCAATTAATTTATAAAACTAAGTATGAAATAAAGAATAAAAGAATTTTTTTTTAAAAATTACAGCGATAGATAACGAAGAAGCTAGATTTATGAGTTATATATAATATAATTGCTTAACAATGGCTTTGGCACGTCTCCAAATCTGCTGGGCTCCCTAGAACAGTCCAGGTGGGTGCAATCAAGCGTCACTTATCACCTAACTGCCCTGTAAGTTATCACTCTCTCAAAGCACAGGTGTTCCAATGTTTATTTAGTGTCTCATTAAGTGTCTACCAGCAATCAACACTGAATAAACACGAAGTGAAAAAAATTTTGACAGAATTCTTACATCGTAATACTGAGACCTCGAGTTTTTGGACAACATAATAAACAGTTCTTTTTTGTATAGTTTTGTTAAGAAATGGTTTTGTGCTTTGAATTTACAATGTAATAAGCGTTCTATCATATATAAACCGTCACCGCAATAGCGGTTCTCTACTGTATATAGTTAAACCACAGGAGGTGTATGTAAAGGGTGTTAAGAAAGTTCATTACTTGATAAAATATTTTCAAAAATTTCAAAGTAGTGCTCAACTAAAGAGATGAATTTTCAAGTCTGACAAAATCACAAGAGTGTCTTTATATTTATAGCAATTCATTTCTAGCAGAAAGTTATAGGATTTTTCTTCCATTTGATCCCCGTGGGGATCCGGGTTAGAATAAGTCCTCCGCACCCCCTTGCTTGTTGTAAAAAGTGACTAAATGGGGCGGTCCTTCGGATGAGACTGTATAAACCGAGGCCCCATGTCACAGCAGGTGTGGCACGATAAAGATCCCTCCCTGCTCAATGGCCCTGAGTGCCGAGCATAGGCCTAGATTTGCAGTCCTTCACCGGCAATGGTGACGTCTCCATATCAGTGAAATATTCTGGAGAGGGACGTTAAACAGTATACAATCAATCAATCAATCTTCCATATGAAATTAATTATGACATCTTTAAAGCAGTCAAATGATAAAAATTTTGGTTATTTTGAGTGAAAATAAAGTGTAAATTACTTTTGTTTCTTAATAGCTTATTTTGAATTAGACAAGCTTATGAGTGTAGGTATAAGAATGAAAGAACACTTTTTTCAAAAGAATAGGTTTGTCATTTTTAAAATTTTCACCAACTTGATAATTTTTGCATAGTATTTGAAAGGATGTTTTGACTTGTGTGCTTGATATATGTCACAAATATATACGTCATCCCTAATTTTTCTGAGCAGACTATCTGTTGTTATTAGTAGCAAGAATGGACTCTGTAAACATGAAATATCACAAATTGTAAATATCTTCTCATCTTATTTCTTTTCAAAAAAAAAAGAAAAATGAGGAATGAACTTTCTTAACACCCTTTACATGAAACATAAGAAATGGAAAAATTATTTAAGTCTTTGTATGAAGATTGACATGGTTTTCTTGCACTCTTAACTGTGTGTGTTAATTGAACAATATTTGACGGGCATTTAAGCTTGTTTACACTTATCAGATTCTACAGAAGGGCCATGGTTACCCAGGTGAGCATTATATGGACCCCGGGACTTTGTGTCATAAGCTCATGGAATAATTTTAACTCATCAGTATAAAGGCAGAAATTAATTTTTAGATTTTTGAAAATATATTGAATAAGTTATCTACATGATCCAGGTAAGGAAACCAAAAAAAAATTCTCCTTTAATAAACTTACTCATTTAAGCTCTAATTACATCATAATTACATCAACAGTTCCTCTTCTTTTACCCTTCACAGATTTAAATAGTAGTAGTCCAGGAGAGCATTCAAGTATTTGTTTCTTTTCAGATTTTTGGTAAAGTTGAGGTAATCCAATTTTACTAATGGCATTTTACTGGTGGCGCTTCGTTTTTCACCTGATGGAAATTAGATCATCCAGATTACTCTTTTGCTTCTTTAAAAGCCTATATACCGTGTAATCCCTATTAACCTCCCCTGCCCTTGTAAGCACCCCCTTAGGTCTTTTTCAATTGTCAGGAAAAAAGCCCCCCCCCAGGGACCAACCTAGAGCCAAAATTTAGGGAGACTTTACTTCTCCCTCAGAGAAATTTAGGGAGAAGTTTTGAAATGTAGGGAGACTCTTTAGCGTGCGCAGAGCTCAATGATCATTATAAATCTTTAAAATTTTAACAAACTTAAAAAATGGAAATATTTCATTGTTAAAAACTTAAAATACATTTCAATACTTTTTTTCTGTATTGACATTCTAGTAAAAAAAATATAAAAAAGAGAAAAAGATCTGAATTTTTTTTTCAAGTACAAGGTACATCTAGCAAAAAAAAAAAACAAAAAAAAAAAAAACAACTTTTTTTTTCATTTCTTGCATAATATGCACAGTTAACTTTAAATTCTATCTTTTAATTTTAAATTTTTATGCTCATTGCATAGTAATAATTTTGTTATTTTCTTTTCAAAATGTGTTTTCATTTTTTTTGTTTTCTGAAAAAGTTTTGATGTACTACGTACTGCATGCTGATTGAACCCTATTGTAATTTCTTAAACAGTGATAACTCCACAAAGAAAATATGTCTGTATTCATTAATTATTTGGTAATAAAAAGATCTGAAACATAATTTTGGCATGAATCAATAGCTGACCAGCTGTTTTGCGTCTGGTTGTGCATAACTTGTAACAATTAAGTGTAAAATCTAGAGGAGTTCCGACAGAGTATTCGATGCATTGGTCATTAGCAGCGAAACAGGTGCAAGTGTCCTGCTGTGTTGTTTAATTCAGCAGTAATAAAACAAGATTTATCAACTACTGAAACCATGTTTCTTAATAGATTTTTGATAAAGGGGTTGCAAATGTTAAGGCGACTTAAACTTCGCTTTCAAGATAAAGTACGGCGAAGTTTGGAGCCCAAAAGCGACTATTTCGCCTCAGTCGCCCCCTAGGTTGGTCCTTGCCCCCCCCCCCCCCCCCTGTACATTGATTAAAATTATCAAGAATCATATCAAAAGTCTACCAAAATTTGAAGGAAGTGAAAATAAAACTAGTTTTTTTATCCAATTTCTTTGTGGAAAATGATTCATTTAGCATAATTTGGGTAGATTATCTTCATTTAAAATACATTTTGGAGATTATTTAAATTTATTTTTTTTTTTTTACAAAATATTTTTTTGAGGGTAATATATATTGAATATTACAAAAAAAGAATACCAAAATAACTGCCCCCTTTTCATAATTTTCCAAGCGCCCGGGGCAGTTAATAAGGATTATACGGTATATTTTTTTTTCAATGTGTTCTAAAGCTTTAAAATACATAGCATAGCAAATATATGTTTAAAATTTAGATAAACGAGGCGCCTATTGCTGGTGTTAGCACAGTTTTCAAGAAATTCACAGTGTTCTAATTTTTCTGACATTTACTGTAAAATCACATATTTTCGTGGGGTCAAATTTTCGTGGTTTGAGGAAAATCTCTTGGTTTGTAGGGATTTGATTTCATGGATCAACGATAAATCAGTACTTATGTATGTAACATTTTACATTACGTGGTGGACATGAATTCTTGGGTTTTGTCATACCTCGAAAACAATGAAAGTTAAACCCCCACGAAAATTTGTGATTTCACAGTATTAACAAAACAATAGTAACACCACTAATGTAGATGGCACACTGGTAAGGGGAAGATAACCACTGTAGGTTCTGAGGTCACAAGGTCAATGTACATGGGATAAACGGTGCTAGACATCTTGGATATAGTAAGGTATTGTTCATTCAATATGTCTTTATAACCTTTGCTTAGCAGACATAAACTTATCCCTTTAACAAGTATATGACTAATTGAATTTAAGGTCACTAGCCCAAATGTCAATGGACATAGGAAAGATATTGATCATTCAAAATCCTGAAAACCTTTGCTTGACAAATATCAAACTTTGTTCACTGTTAAATGGAATTTTTAGTGACACAAATTTAGCACTGTCCTTAAAATTCAGCATTAAATTTTAGTAAGAAGTAATTTTAAGATTTTTATGATGCATAGAAAGATAATTAAAGAAATAAAGTCCACATTTTCATGAGTGTTGCAGGATAACCTGAGGCTGAGAATAGTTGTTTGAAATATAAAAGCTGTTTTTGTCTGCTTACTTAATTTTAAAAACACTTTTCAGCTCAACTGAGGTGAAGGTTCACGTGAGCTTCTAAGTTCGAAGAGTGTCCAACATCCATCTGTCATCTGTAGTCTGTAAACTTTTCACTTTTTCAACTTCTTCTCAAGAATCACTGGGCCATTTCATCCAAATGCCACAAAGCATCACTGGAGAATGGGATTTATATTTATTTTCAGGAAGTGCTGCTTCCTCTTTTTGGGGGAGATAATTAAGAAATTGTGAAAAGAAGGTATGGTTTTGGCTTTTTTGTGCCCTAAAAATGTAAATTTTCAGGTCACCTGAGTAACTCAGGTGACCTATTGCTATCCGTTTTCGTCCGTCATCGTGCGTCGTGTGTCATGCGCCGTGTGTTAACATTTTGAACATTTTCGGCTTCTTCTCTGAAACCATTGAAGCAATTTCAACCAAATTTGGTATACAGCATCTATGGGTGAAGGGGAACAAAAATTGTGAATTTCATGGTCCCCGCGCCCTGGGGCCTGAGGGGTGGGGCCAAAACCACTAAATTTATTGCAATCTTTAAAAATTTTCTTCTTTACTCCTGGACATCAAGCAGGCAAACTGTTATCATGAATGTAATGAGCATTGAGTCCTCTACCAAAATTGTGAAATTCATGGCCTCAGGGTCAGGGGTTCTAGTGCTAGGGCGGGGCTATATAGATTATATAATGAAAATGGATTATTTCTTTGAAAATCTTCTTCTCTGCTTCTGAGTATTAAATAAACTAAGTAAGTACATAGTTATGATGATCAAGAGTGCAGTGCCTCTTCCAGATTTGTGAATTTTATGGCCCCAGGGTCAGAAGTTCTGGTGCTAGGGCGGGGCTCTATAGATTATATAGTGAAAATGCATTTATTCTTTGAAAATCTTCTTCTCTGCTTCTGGGTATTAAATAAACTAACTAAGTACATAGTTATGAAGAGCAAGAGTGCCTCTTCCAGATTTGTGAATTTTATGGCCCCAGGGTCAGGGGTTCTGGTGTTAGGGTGGGGCTCTATAGATTATATAGTGAACATGCATTTTGTTCTTTGAAAATCTTCTTCTCTGCTTCTGGGTATTAAATAAACTAACTAAGTACATAGTTATGATGAGCAAGAGTGCCTCTTTCAGATCAGTGAATTTTATGGCCCCAGGGTCAAGGGTTCTGGTGTAAGGGCGGGGCTCTATTGATTATATAGTGAAAATGCATTTATTCTTTGAAAATCTTCTTCTCTGCTTCTGTGTATTGAATAAGGCCAAACAAAAAAATAACTTTGTTTACTGTTTATTAAGTCTGTTACATGCTGAAATAAAATAGGGTCTGTAGGTAGGAATTTTTTTTAATTTTATTGAATTTTTTTAATACACAAATTCACATGAATTGGTTGAATTACAAAACAGTTTCACCATTGTACCGTGCCTTAATTTTGTTTGGGCTTGTAATATGGGTGGTAGACAATATAATCTTTCAAATGCCTTACAACTCAGGGGTGTGCAATTAAAAAAAAAAATCAAGTACTAACCCACAGGCTTGTAACAACAATAAAGTTATTAGTCCGAAGTTAAAAGTGACCAGTCCAAATATTGGGGCAAAAAACTGTAAAAACTAATATTTTAAAAAGTTCATAGTTGAGAAAGCTAGGGTCTTAAGCCATTCCTTTTAAAGTTGAAGTTTAAAACTTTTAAGAAATTATCTTTTCTTTTCTGAACATATTGCACTACTCTAGCTTATCTAAAATGAAGCAAAAATCATTTTATTTTCATTTCAAACCAATAAGTATAATTGATATATTTTAAAGTTTAATCTCATAACACTTAGCTATCATTTGATTTGGGGATCGTATATAATTGAAAGAGATATCTGCATGTATTTACCATTAACAGAGGAATGGAGGAAATTCGGATTAGGAAAAAACGATCATTTTTTAAGTAAATAAGTCAGGTAGTACTGCAAAATGGATGAGATTAAAGTGATTTAAGAGCAGTAGGAGCATGCTGCCTGGAAATTCTCATTAGTTGGAAATTAAATAGCAAAACAATGAGTGAAAATATCGTTTGTGTTTCTCATGTATTTACATGCATAATTTTTATTTTTACTACCCCCAAAAAAACGGTAGCTCCGGGTGTTGGGCAATGCTAGTTGCACACCCCTGCAACTGCCACGCAATGGTAAGCAAATTGCAATGAACTCGTTGATGTAGAAATTGAACTTACTAGTTTTGTTTCTGTACTATCAATTTCGATTTCAAAGATGAATGTAAAAGTTAAATTGACCGGCCAGTAACTTCCCGAAAAAAAAAGTTTGGGTCGGCGATTAAAATTAGGGTCGATCGGGTAACCGTAAACAAACATATTTATTTGGTACGCCTAAACTAACTAAGCACATAGTTATGATGAGCAAGAGTGCCTCTTCCAGATTAGTGAATTTTATGGCCCCAGGGTCAGGGGTTCTGGTGTTAGGGCGGAGCTCTATTGATTATATAGTGAAAATGCATTTATTCTTTGAAAATCTTCTTCTCTGCTTCTGAGTATTGAATAAACTAACTAAGCACATAAGCAAGAGTGCCTTTTCCAAAATTGTGAATTTTATGCCAATGATCCAAGTATATATATTTATGATGAAGAAAGGTGCATCTAGTAAAATGATTGTTTTTATGCCCAGAGGGGGAGGGGGGTTACATAGTCTGAAAAATAAATTAAATGCATTGAAA